CTGTAATGCTGGAAAACGGGGACAGGAAGATTAATGTTTAATTAGATGCTGTAATAGAGATTTAAAAAATATTGTAAGCAATCAAAGCCTGGGGCACCTGACCGAACGCCATAGAGAAAATGAACTCGTCCGAGGCATGAACGCATGTGTAGTATATGTTCTGCCTATACAAGGAAAGACGACTGGCTGTGGAACATGTTGCGTGTTTTTAGAGGATATGTGCAAAAACAGGGTCAAACAAAGTGAAAGCGCGGAACCTGGAAATTGTTACTACCACTCCATCTTCTCTTCTCCTGAGGGTTACTGTTATGTTTCAATTATTTGTGCAATACAAGAACACCCCCCCCCACCCCCTCCCAAATCTTCACCCAAAGCACAACTTGATGCAAGTTATTTGATTAACATCTGTACAAATGCATTGCTCGTTTAGTCTGCGGCAACTTTAGTTTTACTTTGCACGGATACAGGTGGACTTTGATTCTTTCCAAGAATTACACATCCTGATCTGGTCTTGCTATGTGGATCCTTCCCTGTCTATTACCTGGCGTGTAGGATGCACTTGCTGCTAGCAGCTCAAGTTATTGTTTAACACACACAATGTTAGTGTAGACGTAAGCGCGTAAAACATATTTACCATACCACCTGCTTTTTATGAGGAGTATGTCTCATTAGTGGCTGTAATTCAGTGATGTTCTAATTTCTGTAGCTTGAGTTTGTTTATTTCTTTGTTTGTTATTTTTCTTTTTAAACAACTTTTACGGATATATCGAAATAGACACTTTTCTTATGTTAATTTTCTTTTCTCTGACATCACTTATCAACACTAGAGTTCAAGAAAAAAAAAAAAAAAAGGCCAGGATTAATTTTGTGTGGACACAAATGTACGCAGGAGTACAGGAGCTGGATCAGTGTCTGTATTTGTTGAGAACCATTGTCAGTGTGGCATCTGTTTGTGAATGTGTACTATGTGTGTATGTGTGTATATGTGTGTATGTGTACATGTGTGTGTGTGTGTGCATGTGTGTCGACGCAGGATTACATTCAAGTCATACAGACCAGAAGAGGGCCAGCTAGACTTGTATGACTGACATATTCCTTCACCCCAATAAACCCCCTACCAAAGTCGCCATCACTATGTGTGAACACAACCTGGGTTAAATATATTAATAAACAAATTATAGAGTCGGATCGTACACTAACAAGGGTGTTCTAGATTCTAGAATATGAAACACAAGAAAGAATATGAAACATAAACAAATCTTATAACAACGAAGCAGTGAAATACATTCTGACATTGTACTGATAACATTAAACAAAGCAAGAGAAAATATTTTACTTGTATACTGTTTCTATAGCTGTTAACTATTCTACATGCAACCCCTACAGTAGGCATGTCAAGCATACGGTCCGTGGGTCAATGCGGCCATTTGCAAGAACACATGCGGCCCGCAATTAAAAAAATTATTCTGCAGTAATTTTTTTTTTTTATTATGGCTTCAGTTTGTTGTTGTGTGTGGGACCGCTAGTTTGACATGTCTGTCCTACGGTGGCTGGGCTGGAGCCTGTTAACATTTCAATACTTCAAACCTGTCCTGTAAACATTACCAGTCTAAGCATAACGGCAGATTGTCTGAATAAGCTGTGTGCATTCTTTACCTGGATAAATATTAACATGCGTCGGCATAATGTGAAGTTGCAGTACCAGTATTGCACACCCGGTTGGCTTTACAACTTTGAGCATGGAACAGAAGCTCTGCAGTACAATCCTTGTCCAAATGGAACTCTATTACTCGGTCGTTAAAAACCCCTTTGGAGAAAAAAAAAAAAAAACACACACACACACAAAACCTCCCTACGATACATGCAAGCCTTCTGTAAGGGTTTGACAATATAAACCGAGTGCATCAAACTTAAGAATTGATAGTCTTCCAAAGTATCCACAACATACCAGTCAATTAACTATGGTTGTGGCAAGTATCGTAGCAAAGCAGAATAAATTGTTGATAATTTAAATCACTAAAAAGATGAACCAGAAGTGTCTAAAACTAGTCTCCTATACATATTATGTGAAAGGAACAAGCTTCAGAATTGGCTTTAAAATTATAATTCACTATACCTAATTCTAACAATTGTTAGCTTAAACCTTGTGGGATTTATACTCTCCGGTAACTGTATATATCTCTTGTAGCCTGACACATAATATGTACGTATTTTTTTTCGTCTTAAGGCAATAATATTGGAAGAGCCAAGTCTGCACATGACTATTTTCTTTTTCATACCCCTCCACCTTTAACCACACCCACCCCCACTCTTCTATATTAAGCTGTGTATCTGTTTTGTTTTTCTACTTTGATTTTACATAATTAAACAGAAAGAAACTAGCTCCTAAACTAGCTCTGAAACTAGCTCTTTTCACTCCGTCGTGAATCTAGTATTTAGTGATAGATGTTTTTTTTTTTCTACCCTGTATTATTTAGAAATGTAGGCCAATCAGCACTCGGCACAATCAGCACTCGGCACAATCAGCACTCGGCACAATTAGCACTCGGCAAGTAATGTGATTAATACAACCCCGACCTCCTTTACACAACAGGATTCTCCTGCTACCAGTGTTGTTACATAATTACAGTAACTTTATTTGCCAGATTAAAGACACAGATGTGTCACACAGGCAAAAAACGAGAGACAGGGGTCTAAATCTTTGGCACCAAAGACGTTAGGATTGTTTACTCATTCGTGAGTCATTTGGCTTAGAGGTACATCAGTCGTTGATGGAGTGTTCCTAGTATGGATCACATGGTGCGTTTCTTCACACACACACACACACACAAAAAGACCACTACATATAGTTTATTAGGCCCCTTTCTATTTATCCCGATGGTAGGTGACTGGAACTCTGGCCTTCTCTACGAATGGTGAAAACTAAAAGTTTACTCACTGCTAAGTATGCCCTCATCAGTATAAGATGTTCCCACCCTTGACCTTTCAGAGTTTCTTAGCAGCAATGAAGGTGAAATGGTGATCTTCAGCAGCCAGCGATAGAGTTCTGGAGCCAGCTTGACCGTGGAAGACCGTCTGGTAATTGAAACCGTATGCAGGTGCCTCATTTCTCTCCAGCCTGCCATAATGACATCTTCAATCCCATTTACCTATCTTGCATTCAGCGCAGAGTTCCAATTGCTTGTACCGGTCCCAAGGAACAAGCATCCAGTTTACACGTATATTTCAACGATGAAATCGGTGATGTGTGTTGTGAGGTTTATTTCTAAAGTAAACATTGCTTCCAAAGAACTGCAATCTCTGGTAAATGTTTTCTTAAATAACTATAGAAAAGTACAAAACGAGACATCCTTGCTAGATAAATCATCCAAGAAAAGAAAGCTGGCTAAGTTTGATCACTAATTTTCAGTGGGCTATGTGGCTACATTATAGGACATTCAGCTGCTAAAATGTAAATAGTTTCTGTTGTACTTTCTGTTTCTATACTGTTCTATTTTTAGCTGAAAATGGAACAGCCCAGCGTTCCCTTTAATTTGTATATGTGTATATACCTATATAGAGATTCTATTCTCTTGCTAAGAATATTGAAAGGGGGGGGGGGGGGGGGGGTCTCAGGGGACGACCTGAAACACACTTAAAGAACTGGTCTGTCCAAGTGAAAACGGAACCTATCGTTAGCCCGAGGTGGTGACGTCACGTCAAGCTGATGACGTTAGCCCCACGGTCCTATCCTACAGAGGATACATCCAAAGGAAAGGTAATAAAAATACATTTAGAACAAAGCCTGGTGTAGAAGCTGCAGGATCAGAAGAGCAGTGCTCTGCAGTTCTCCTCAGGAAATCTGGTGGAAATGTATACCATGAATGCAATAAAATAAAAGATTATAGAGTATAGAAATGCTTACCGTTGCGAACGGGACTGAAGGCTTGACCACTCATAGTTCTAATAGTTCTGAATGACAATGCATCATCATCATCAATTTCCACTTTTGTCGTCAAGTTTCGAATGAGGAACATTTTACGACCCATTGCTTGATGGGTAGCAATGGTTACTGTCATTGATGTAGAAGCTCTTTAATGTCACCAGTCCATGTTCTCCTATGGCGACCTCTTGCTTTCATATTAGATCTTTTCTGAAAAGTGTAGCATATCTCAATAAGTTGCTCTGGCATTGCAACGAGACTAATTCCAAATATTCCATTATTTTAACTTTATTGGTCTGCAACAAAATGACCATTCACTTTATCTCATTACCGGTACAAAACAAACATTTAGTTATAACGGCTACATCGAGTACCACTTTGCTGTCCACTCTGAGGCGGGCAAACGGGCAAATTAGTGACGTTCAACCCCCACCAAGACCGCACGACTAGCGACAAATATCTGGTGACATAACGTGATACCATTCAGATGAGAATCACCCGCACGCAAGTCCGTGAAACCCTGTTCAACCGTTAGAGCTCCCGACGACTGTCGGGTAGGGCTTTAAGATAAAAAAATGGTCTCTCATAATGAAGCCGATTTTTCAATGCGTGAAGAGGAATCAAATGGTTATATAGGAATTTTATTATATAACTTGATCGTCTGAGAATTATCGACTGCAACTTATCGTCTGCAGTTTGTCGTCTGCTGTAAATGGAAGTCTTCTGGCGTGGAGATTACACTCAGCTAGGACTGCGAGCCACATGCCAGGTTGGGGTACATAAGGTTTTGTTGAAAGATAACATGAAAAATTAATTTTTACTTGTGCTTTATTTAGTATTCTTAGCATCATCCACTCTAAAATTAAAAATAAAACAATATTTACAATTTTTTTAAGCGATGTTAATTTTTTTTTTAAACAAAACATGGTTGTCATATTTATTATTTGCTAAAATTTGCATCGTCGTAAAAATCTGTCACTTTATTCAAGAGCACAATTTCCCCTTCAGAACTTTCGCCAGCAAGTTAATCTGACACTTTTATCTTTTTACAAAATGCTTTAATTGTGGACTGTTTATGATGAACGGGCCGGTAGATGCTTGCAGGCTTCTCTTTACCTGTATTCCAAAGTACAGAACAATAGTAAAGAAAAGAGTGTATCGGCACTTAGCAGTTACAACTAGTCTACTTACTCGCCATTCAACAACTCTACCTGCTTCGCCAGGACAGTCCGATGTTGCATATTGTGTTGATCTCGTAAGGTTCGTATATATTGCACACAGTCTTTAAACCTGACAGGCATGTTCCGTGCCGAGCGGCAAGTATCGCTTTGCAGGTCCTCGCTTGTTAGCTACCTTGGATATTTTCTCAAAGAATATAGGTGTATTGGAAAATTAACAGGCAGGTAGATTGGCTTGTTCTGCACCACTTGTTGATGCATTGATGTGGGAGAAGCTGCTTGTAGTCAACGCCCGTTGGAAGTGAGTGAACAGTGTACAAGCACAAGTAGATCATCATGTAATACAGAAAGTAGTACAGCAGTGAGTGACCAGATGATCTGTCGGATACTGAACACTCCGAGGAAAGGCAAGGCAGGCATACAGTCAGGCATCATCAGAATTGGAACTCTGATAGCTGCTGAAGTGGATGAGCGGTTATGGGAATACCCAACTGCCATTTATGTCATTTCTTCACAGAGCTCAACTTTTTTATTTTTTAATCTGTCCATTAACTCTTTGAGTCCCAGGGAACGCATTATACGTTCATAGATTCCTACCTAGAAGCCCAATCAACGCAAGATGCACCGATTTTATGTCTCTCTTGACTACCCCTTGGGCATGTGATGCTAAACCCCCTAGGTCTCAAAGAGTTAAGTAATTAAATTATCATTTTCTATGCCATGAAAGGTATGTGAAATATGTTGCTGGCTCCATAAATGTTTAGGGCACTCTGAGTAAATGAGACATATATGGTAAAAATTTAGGGTGGAGAGTGGCACCAGCCAGGTTAAAAATTACTGTTTTGATTATATCCTCATATTGATGAGAATTCCAACAATGCTTGACCACTAAACTGGCAGACCAGCACACAAACCGTTGTGCTACCACAGTGTCCTATCATCTGCGTATAAACTATAATTCATTTCATGTTATGCCATTATTGTCCTTTTATTTCTTCTCCATTCAGTATATCGAAGTCACATGGGCATTCACAGTCTGTCTGCACTGCCTTAACATAAAGTTTTCAGGATGCATTTCCTCTTTCTAGTAAGGATAGTATCCTCCCATATGTGCTGCTGTGGTCACGGTCATTGCATTGGCACAAGCAGACCTAGGGACACTTCTGCTGCCCAAGAATTCTCAAAGGGCTGCATTTGCTCTGAGAGCTTACAATGTTGAACTTGCCCAGGTTAGTTGATGTTGTTCTTAACTCTTTGAATCTCAGGGGGTTCATCATCAGAGGCCCAATGGGTAATAAAGACAGAGGTTGAATCAGCACATCTTGCATTCATTGGGCTTCTAGGTAGGAACGTATGGACCGAAAGAGTTAATAGTTTATAAATGTACATATGGAATGTTAATAGTTTATAATTGAACATATGAAATGTTCTTTAAAAATGAGTAGTATAGTTGTTAGGATTGACTTGTTTCTTACTGTATATTACTGGGAATTTATTTGTGAAAATTTTTTTTTTATATTTTTCTTCAGAAAAAGAGTTTCATGTTTTATCAAAGGGATTGTCTTTTTAAAAATGTGTTAGAATTGATATACTGCTTTCATTTGCTTCTTTTTCTCCCTTCTCTGTTCTTTTTTTTTTTCTTTGATTGATAGACACATCTAGTGAGAGCTCTGTTGTTTGTCCAGATGCATTTAACATTTATAGCCAGGTAGTTAAATCAGTCATTAGTTTGTTCCTTAAGGGCTGTTTCCTAACAGTTTGCCATACTATCATGTGATTAAAGAATTAAAGTCTGCATGGCAGACCAACTAGGCAGTTCCCAGATAACCTGATCAACTTGCAGAGAGGTTATAATTAGGGCACCTGTAATGGAAACACCAGCCATGTGTATCCTGCAGTCCTGTGCGAGTAAGGATGAGCCAAATGATCCATCAGTGCATCTTTTATTTCTTTTTTATCCAAGTGCTAAAGCACTTTCTGGGGCATTGTCTTGTGATACTCTTGTTTCATGACCAAGCCATGTGATTTGAAAGTAAAGGACCTTTTTTACACCAGTGATAGGATGCCAGGCTCGACAATTTCATGGATCAGTCAGCCCTGAATATTCTGATTTGTTTTTATGTAATTGAATTTAGTCTGATGGTGATCTTATATATAAACGAGTTCAGTGTTACCAAATTTGACACATACATTTCTATGCAAACACACACAATTTTTTTTTTCTTATCCACCACCACTAAACATTTATGATTTTTGTAAGGTAGAAATGAAGAAGAGAATTAGAAAAGAAACCAAGAGAGGATTTAACTATAGGAAACAGCATCTCACATCTAAATATTTTTGTTATAAATTGAAACTAATAATGATTCATTGTATCATTTAAAGAAGATCAAGTTAAATGATGAAGACATGAAGATTGATCATTTTTTTTCTTATTCTGTGTCCATCCGAAAATTGTGTTCCATTGGATTATCCCTATTGCCCTGTCCCTCTTCACAGAACATCTAACCACCTGTCAGGAGCATTGCACAAAGCACAGACTCCGTAGTTCTAGTGATAATCCCCAGGGATCTCTGTAAAAGTTGCACTTGTGAACTGAATGGCAGGCACATCCTTGAAATGAACCCACGACCTTCAGAGCACTAGGCAAATACCTTCACCACTTTGCTGTGGAGACTCCCTGATTAAGTTCTTTGCACTGTTATATCCATATAGCTAGGTGCCTCTCCTCTCAGAGTTTGACCATCCCCTGAGAGCGTTACAGAAAGCATGAAACTAGCGTCTGTGACAACTCCCAAGGATCTCTGAAACAGCTTCACTTGCAGTCTGAAAGACTGAGTAAAAAAATGAATCCATGACATGGTTGAACCATTTTATCATGGAGACCTCCACTCTAAATCACTGTGTTGTGCAGAAACATGGAAGGTGAAAAACAAAACAAAAAATAATAATAATAATATAAGGATAAGATGGAGGCTTTCCAAATGTGTCAGTTTCTTGCCTAAAGTGTCTCCAGACTGTTGTTTCCATCTTCTTGCTGGTCGACCCTGTTATTCTTTCAAAAATCATGCTTGTTACAATCCTTTGTAAGTGTTTTTTCTTCTTCACAACTATCGGCTGTAAACTATGGTGGAAGGTTCTTGTTGTTGGTCCACTTCTGGACTTTTAGCCTTTCTCCAGACCTTGAGTTTTGCATGCACATCTGTTTTACTGATCTGGCTTTTTTATTTATAAGTAGACTGTTGGTTCCTGTCCTCATATACAGATGTACTCAGACTTTAAAGGAAATATTCATTTACAACTTATTTGTTAGGGGGCAGTGGATCTATCCACACAACCCCTGCGGTGAGGCTCCAGAACCAACACCAGGACTTTCTAAGTCATTGTGGTCTTTCATATAGCTGAAATGTCCCATGATATTAAGCTTTTTAAGAGACGGTTGTTTTTAATCTTGAGATCTTGAAGACTGGTTTTTTTGGGGGGGGGGGTTTCTCGTGATCCATAGAATTTCAAGACTTGCTAAATAACATTTAATTTAATAATTGTCTTTGCGTGTATAAAGTATTGGCTTCATAATCTACAGGTTCCAGACAGTGTATCTGACAAGAAAATTGGACTGATTAGGATGCAGTTTTGGAAAGATGCTATTCAATCAATCTATCAGGTATTCTTTCTTATTGTATACAGTGATTGCATTTTTGCTCTTTTGCAGGTGTTCAATTAGTGATTAGAAATGTTTGTTTTTAATTCTGTTTGCTGTAGTATATGTGTTTTCTTTCTGTGTTGCTGTCTTGGTTTCTTTGAATACATAAGCAATAGATCAGCATATACACCAATATGTCTTTACACTGGAACTCACAGATGCATAGAAATAAAGGCTGACCACATAAAAACACATGGAGAAAGAAACTAGAGAGTGAAGTTGAAATGATAGGTAGGACTCACAGCATGCATTGCAAATGATAAGGCTGAGCTGCATGCACAAAAGCAATGGCATGATAGCAACTGGGTAGCTAGAGAGTAGGACTGGGGTAGCTGCATGCAATGGCAAATGATAGGTAGGACTGGGGTAGCTGCATGCAATGGCAAATGATAGGTATGACTGGGGTAGCTGCATGCAATTAGTTGAAGGTAGGACTGGGGGTGTTGAAAATGACATGGTGTGAGTTGGTTGAAGGTGTTGCAACACGACTTGGTGTCATTTGGTTGAGGGCCTTTGCTTCACTGGGGGATAGAAGGCAGAAGATCTGCAGCCATGCTGCTAGACAGAAATCTGTGGATGTGTTGTGTATGGTGTGATGTCACTTCTTAAGTCAGTACTTCTTGCATTTAATTTTCTAAAATTTGATTTGTCTTTTTTTTTTTTTTATATTATATTATTGACACTTGCAGTATCATATTGTCTAAACAAATGATTTGTGGCACTCAGCACACGAAAGCTACATACAGTGTTTCAATTAATGGATATCTATTTAGCTACTGTTCTTTAAAGATAAGTTGTGTGTTATTAAGTTTATTCACACTGTCTTTAGAATAAAGTTCTACCTACTGCTTTAAATACTATTGTATTTTGTTTTACTTATGCAGTCTTCTCCACCGAAAACTCCAGTGGCAACAGAATTGTCTGGGGTGAGTTGCTAAAATTAATCACTCTGCAAGTTAAAGATAAGTAGTTTTTGTATGTTACAGTTCAGTATGTCTTGGGGTTAAGCTGTGTTTGTCTACTGAACATGTAATCACATTTCCCTACCCAGTTTGTGATTACATGTTGTTGAATGTTTCTTCTTAGTTTCTGTCTTTCATTTCCAGGTTTGTCTATGCCAAGTGTTTACATGACATCTATCCTAGAAACATAATTGTGGATGAGCAGCCTTTCATCTGTCTGTCAGCTATCCATAAAGAACATCATTCTGAAGATGGCCATCTGCCAAATTGCATAAACAGTGTAACTAGTTCAATAAGTGGTTTCTGTAGCAAATAAAAAATATGAAGAAGACAAAACAACAAATTTTACAGTTTATTGTCTGGCATAATTTGTTTTACCTTGTCAAATGCAAACTACAGAAACAGTTGAATGCAGTGAGACAAAGAAATTAATTCTTCCAACTGAAATAGAAAATCAGCTAATCTCGAAATAACACTGCTTGTTTTACCAGGGCAAATGCAGGTTCATGACCTTTTTTTTTTTTTACCTTTTCACAAATTTGAATGGAAGTGATGTACAAAAGCAGTACACAGAATTACAGAATCTATCCAAAACATACTTTAACACATAACATCTAGTAAAATTTTTGTAAATGAGGTATAATGACAGTCGCATTGTATAGAAGTATGTTTTCTAATGAAGTTTCCCTATTCACATTTTACTCAAGTGAATACTAGCATAGACATATGACTGACATCCACATGTGAAACAGCATGTTCAGCAATTACTCTGACACTGGATAGTGTTGCACAGCAGTAGTTTGCCATACTGATAAATGTATACAAGCTTAATGGTAACTTCTGTAAGCACCTTGGGTAATTATAGAAGTCAGAGGCTTCTATTTCATCATGTATTAATCCCTCGATACTGTATAAATTTAGCAGAACAACTTTTCTATAAAATTTTCTTTTGCTGAAGTGTGTCTACATTATTTTGGGGGTGGTGGACTCTGTTGGATCCTGTAGAGATTTTATGAGAGCATCTCATCTTTTAGCAGAGCTCTTCCAAGAAGTGTCCAGAAAAGGCATGTATTTGAATTTGTCTAAGTGTTTTCTTGTGTTTGCCGTATTTGTGTTTATCAGTGTGCCTAGTAATAATGCATTGAGTTATCTGTCTTTCAGGCATGTGGATACTACAGGTTATCCAAGCATTGGTTGGAAAGGCTGGTGGAGGCACGGGTAGGATGTTTCTGTCTTCAGTTATTAAATTGTGTGTTCTTAATCGACAGATCTTTATAGTATGCTCATTTTCTACAACTGTGATGGATAACCTCTTTAACAGTGATGGTCAGTGAACACATTGCTCCTGGACGTAACATTTTCTATTTTAATTTCTTCTTCGAGTTCACCGGCTGTAAACTCCAGTGGAAAGTTCTGGGTTGTTCACCCAGAACTTGAACATGGTGTGCATCCATTTTGCATATGTGACTTATTTGTATGCAGACTGTTGGTTCCTCACCTCTCAGGTAGATGCACTCCTACTTTAAAGGAAACATCCCTGACTAGTCACTAGTTTTTACATGTTTGTTAGGAAGCAGTGGGTCAATTGTTTTCACCCTCAGAGAATATTGAATTAGTTATAATGTTTGTTTATTTAAAATACCTGAATTTTCATCTGGATTTAAAATACCTGAATTTTCATCTGGCTAGTCGACACTTGTATTTTTTTTACAAGACACCACTCACTTGTTTATCTTCTAAGATTTTAAATAATCATTATTTTCAGTTTCAAAATTATATAACTATATAGAGCTAGCACCATCATCATCAGTTCTCGTTATGCCTAGTGGCACATGAGGCTTCAGAGGACTTTCCATGCTTTCCTGTCCTATGCGATCTTCAATTCAGTTTTCCATGTCAAAGATGCCACACTCAGGTCACTTTCTATCGTTCGTCTCCATGTTGTTTCTGGGCGCCCCTTCTTTCTCTTTCCCTCTTGTGTCCATGTGAGAGCTGTTTTGGCAGGTATATCAGGATTCATTCTCATAGCGTGGCCAAGCCATTTCCAAATTCTCTTGGTTATCACACTGTCTAGAGTTTCTTGGTTTGTGACTTGAAGTAGTTTAGTGTTTGAGATTGTATCTGGCCAGAAAATTTGATAATTCTACATAAGACATGTGTGGTGGAAGTTGGACAGCTTTTGTACATCCTTTTTGGTCATTCTCCAGCATTCTGCTCCATAAAGAAGAACTGCCAAAATGTAGCTAGTAAAAGTAAAGGACCCTCTTCCAGCCTTTACATGTATTAGGCATATAGAGTTGGACCTTTTTTTGTAGACCACTCGACATTTGGTGGGTGATGTGGTTAACATCATGTCGGCCGCCTTTACTTTCTATCACACATAGTACCCATTTGCGACAAAGTCGACCTGGGGCCAAGGTCAGTTCGAAGACAATCTGGCTCCATGCCAATTTGAATCCACAACTTTTGGGTCCACAACATACCCCCAGGCAGTGTAGAAAAAGGTTTTTTTACTTTAGAAATTAATATAGACTATATTAAATGGATGTTACAATACGACATATTAATTAAGGCTTACAATTGTTGAGGCAGTTTCAAATAACCACTTCTAATAATTTTGTCATCTCAGGCAGCTCAGATGGAGCGTGATTCATTTACTTCAGTGAAACATGTGGAAGATTATGCAGAACAGGTCAACTCATCTCTGTATTATCTGCTGCTTGAATGTTTAGGTATGCTGGTCTCATTATTTAAGCATTTTTGTGTGTTTTAACTCATTTAAGACCAAGCTACTCAGCAAAGATTCATTGGTTACTTCTCAAGTGATATACTTTTGTTCATCCGTGCTTCAGACATCGCATTAGCTACTACCTCTCCAGTAGTCACTTTAACTCTTCTCCCTCATTGTGTTATTAAATAAGGCTTTTAATTTATAAAGCCATTCAGACTTTGTCCTGAAGTGCTATAGAAAGATTCTCAGAATACCAAAAACAAAGAAGTATCTGAACATCAAGGAAGATTGGTTAATAAAAAGCATCTGGTCTCAGAAGCTGAATTATTTTGGTCATTTCAAGCGCCATGGCGAATTGGAAAAAACATAATAGCAGAAGGCATGGTACCAAGAAGGAGGGGCACAGGATATAAGTGACTCCTTGAAAATGAAAGTACACAATCAGGAGAACTGGCCAGAGACTGAGTTTCTATCAGGCAGACCGTGATGAGAGCGCCATTCTGCAAAGGGCCTGCTACATGAAGATGATGATGATGATTCAGAATTTGCAATAACAAACTCTCTCCCAGTTGTAATTTTTTTTTCTCACAGCCCATCGTGACATTATTTCAACTGCATAAGATCCACACAGTTTTCAATTTACAAAAAATAAGGGCTTAAAATAAAATGACCTTTGAGTCTTATATTAAATGAGGTATTGCTCTAGCTGTTTCAGAAAGTGACAGAATATAAAATTTAGCTGTATCACCATGTCTTGCTTCTTCAACTGCTGTGTGCTTTCAACTCAATATATTAGTCAAATTACACTGCTCATTATTATATTTCTCTCTTTTTTTTTTTTATTTAAATGTTTTTCGCTTATGAGATTTCTGTTATCTTAATTAGGATATTTTTGCAATTTTTTTAAACCTCTATACTAAAGATTTTAACCTATTCAGAATAAGCATTTCTTGCCTGCTAAAATTATACAGAGTGGGCCATACTGATGGGACACATTTCAAGTGCCTATGTGGAGCTTGTAGGGAGAAACATTTATTACCAGAGGACAGGAGTTCTGCAGTGTGTTCCGTGTTTGAAGATTACATCACTGACATGGACACCTGCTTGACGAGAACATTCTTTGGCTCTATCAGTTGTGTTCTTTGGCTCTATCAGTTGTGTTCTTTGGCTCTATCAGTTGTGTTCTTTGGCTCTATCAGTTGTGTTCTTTGGCTCTATCAGTTGTGTTCTTTGGCTCTATCAGTTGTTTTCTTTGGCTCTGTCAGTTGTGTTCTTTGGCTCTGTCAGTTGTGTTCTTTGGCTCTGTCAGTTGTGTTCTTTGGCTCTGTCAGTTGTGTTCTTTGGCTCTATCAGTTGTGTTCTTTGGCTCTATCAGTTGTGTTCTTTGGCTCTATCAGTTGTGTTCTTTGGCTCTATCAGTTGTGTTCTTTGGCTCTATCAGTTGTGTTCTTTGGCTCTGTCAGTTGTGTTCTTTGGCTCTGTCAGTTGTGTTCTTTGGCTCTGTCAGTTGTGTTCTTTGGCTCTGTCAGTTGTGTTCTTTGGCTCTGTCAGTTGTGTTCTTTGGCTCTATCAGTTGTGTTCTTTGGCTCTATCAGCTGTGTTCTTTGGCTCTGTCAGCTGTGTTCTTTGGCTCTGTCAGTTGTGTTCTTTGGCTCTGTCAGCTGTGTTCTTTGGCTCTGTCAGTTGTGTTCTTTGGCTCTGTCAGTTGTGTTCTTTGGCTCTGTCAGTTGTGTTCTTTGGCTCTGTCAGTTGTGTTCTTTGGCTCTATTAGTTGTGTTCTTTGGCTCTATCAGTTGTGTTCTTTGGCTCTATCAGTTGTGTTCTTTGGCTCTATCAGCTGTGTTCTTTGGCTCTATCAGCTGTGTTCTTTGGCTCTATCAGTTGTGTTCTTTGGCTCTATCAGCTGTGTTCTTTGGCTCTATCAGCTGTGTTCTTTGGCTCTATCAGCTGTGTTCTTTGGCTCTATCAGCTGTGTTCAGCAGAGTTTTGCGCAGGGCTTCAGCTAGGATGGCCGCTATCTCCCTTCGGATGTTGCCCTTCGGTTCATTGATGGTAGTGGGCAATGAAAGAAGCATGTAACAGTAACTCCCATCCGTACACTTCATTTTAAGATATATCTAAAACATGCACGACAGTTATTGATTACAGTAATATAAATATGGCCCACCCTGTATTTACTTTTTTCCCTTCCTCTCTGCACTTGAGATTCCTGATGTTACTTTTACTATATGAGATCAAGATCAGGTCTGCCTAGTTTTACTGTTAGAGATAAGTAAGTAAAGTAAAGGTCCCTTTACATGTCAGGGGTATGTTGAACATTCAAGCTAGACTCATAGTTTGTGTACACCAATTGGCCCTTCATGGAAGATGTGGTCAACATCCCGCTGGCTGCCTTTACTACCGACTACTTTACCTAGTACCCACTTCAGGCTGGGTCAACCTGGAAGTTTAGGTCATGTTTGGAGAAGAAAAAAAATCTGGCTCTAAAAGGTTTAGAGCCCCTGATCTTCAGATATGCAGGCGAACATCTAGCTAATACACCACGGCAGCTTAAGCTGTTACATGGTTTCCTTAAAATTTGTTCTGTTCATTTCAGAAAAAAGGTGCAGATTCCACTTTTGTAAATAAAATGTAAAATGCATTGTGTATGTTAAGTAAGTGATAAAATAAAGACTAGGACTCTGTACTCGTAATGACACATTAGTAAATAGTGCTGGACTGATATTTGTTTAGACAGTAGATGATGTGGTCATTGTCATGCTGGCCACCTTTACTTCTCAGGACATTTTCTTATGCCCATTATAGACTATTTTCAATTTTTATATGGAAGATATTTAGATCTTTTGAGCCCTTGTTTGTAATATTGAAAAAAAAAATATGATAAGCATCAGCTTTTATTGACTGCAGGAATCAAGAATGTCCATGCGGACCATGCTGCAAGCCATCTCGGGAAAGCCCAAGGAATAGTCACACTTTTGCGAGCCACCCCTCATCATGCCTCGAGGCGTAGGGTCTATCTACCTATGGAAGTTTTAGCAAAGGTACATATCAAATAAATGACCAAGTTATTAGAGCTTTGTCCCTTATGTAAACAAGACAAGGATTATATATTTTGTTAAAATTGCTTCTACTTGATACAGACGTTTTAAAAAACAAAATGCCATACTCTTATCTGAAGCTGAGGAGAACAAAAATGTCAGTGTGTCATTTAGGTAAAGATGTTTCTTCGAGTCATTTACTAGAGAATAGGTGTGTATGTCTAGTAGTTGCCATCTTTCTGTGTTTTATGGCATTTGAATTTGCATATCAAGTGGCTTTTCAACATAACAGCCTTGCAGATTAATAAGTTATTGCTAACCCTTTTTTTTTTTTAATAATTGTTTGTTTTTATTGGATTACTACCCATAATGCTGGCCCACCATCCTGATGTGGTCTCCCTGAACCTATAATTGCGTTATAGCCCGACCTACCTAACCCTCTGATCTACTGTCCCAGTAGGATGGGTGTGATCAGGAAAGTGCTGTGTCATTAGTCCATTGTCATAGCTTTGTTTCACCTGTAGCTCAGGCAGACTGGAAATAGTCATCTAGAGTTTTTAAGACTAGACTGAAGGAATTTGTTTTTAATTATTTTTACAACATGATGGTTGTAATATAAATGCTTCATGACCCCATTTTGGGAGGGACAAAAAGGAATAAATTCACTGCCCCCCTTCCCCCCAAACAAGCATATTGTAAAATGTGACTGATTACAGAGGTATCCTTCAAAGTCAGGTTGCATCTGCCTGAGAGGTGAGGAAGAAGAAAGTGTCTGTTAAATAATGTGTTTGATGAAAGATTTAGGGTGTGCGCTTTCTATGTTAAAACCTCATTAGCCAGTGGGTAATAGTTACACTGTGTCTGTATGCTGCAATGTTCAGTTCACTTACATATCCTAGATGAATCAAACAAAGCAGATCTTTTTAGCGTTCACATTCTGTAAACTCCAGTAGAAAGTTCTGTTGTTCGTCTGTTTCTGGACTTTTGTCTTGTTCCAGAACTTGAGTTGTGCTTATGCATCCATTTGATTGATCGGTATGCAGACTGTTGGTTCCTTGCCTCTCAGGCAGATGCACCCTGACATCCCAGGCCCCCCTCTCCCCCCCCCCCCTCCCAATCGCCCCTTGTATGACATGCTTGTTAGGGAAACAGTATGTCTATTCTTTTTTTCCCCTAGAACTCATTTGGGGAAAATGAAACATATAATGATCTGGGAAATTAACAAATGCTCGATGAAGTCAGATGTGTTGACCAAAAGGTGCAAATATCACAGCTTTGCTGTAAACAGTCACAACACAATAACATCATTCGGATGAATAAACAGAAAAATAATCAAATCATGTGGACACTTCCAGATTTTCCCTGAAAAGATTTTGTCATAAGTCTACAGGATAAATCTAAATTCTGCTCATTTTCAGCACAAAGTTTCCCAGGAGGATGTCATCCGTGGTAAGATTTTCAGCCACTGAAGGATGCTGTGTTTGAGGTTGCCAGCTTGGCTCATCAGCACCTGGAAAAGGTAATTTTTTCTTTGTAATCTGCTGTTTTTTTTTCTGAAATGAGAATAAGAATAGCTGCAGAAATGTCTTTATCAAGATGTGACAATTCTTATAGTTATAAACAAAACATTAATAATGAGTATGGTCAGTGTTAATGTACTCTATTTTAAGTTTCAGAGACTTGGACAATGAACAATTAGAAAATAGAACTGGGTCACTGTAGGTGTGGGTGTATAGAAGAATATATCCTATTTCATTTTTTTTTAAAGGGTGGGGGGGGGGGGGGGGGTAGAGAATCAAATACAGAGGTTCTTGAGGGACTAGGAATGAAAAGAGAGGTGCTAAAAGAATTTTTTTTTTAAATAGTTGAAATATTTCTACCACCATAACAGACATGCTGTCTTAAAAACGACTGTGGAGGGAAAAGTCAAAGCTCATTTTCCAATTTCCTCATCAAATTTTCTGTTTGGCTGTTGTCTTGAGGGGATGTTAAAGGCAGTTGAGCAAGCATGTAGGCAGTGACACACATGTAAATTCCAAGGATGAACAAACTGTAGTCTGTCAGAGTGTACTACTACTACCAGACTGAGAGATAAAGTGTTGAAGATCCTGCCTACCTTCACCTGATTGATTCTTTGCTGCATGTTGACATATCTGAGCGCTACTGTTTTATTTGTTGATCTTCTTCTTCTACTGTCTATTCCTGGTGGAGGTTTGAGCCTTCAACCAGTTCATACCAAACCTTTACTATCTTATACAGTTCACTATATTTCCATTGTGTCTAATTCACCTCCATCTTCCTGTGTGTGTTCTAGGGCCCCATGTTGGGAGGGAAAAAAGAGGAGATCCACCGCCTCCCTACAAACATGTTATAAACGGTGGCTAATTATTTACTGAAATCTAATATGTTGGGCTAAAATAAAAGGTACAGATATTACAGCCTAGCTGTAAACCACAACATAGTATGCCAATCCCTCAATTATGGGCAAACACAAAGGAGAAACCTCCCTCTCTAATTATCATTCCCATAAATTTTCTAGTTCTTCCAGAAACCTTATTATAAATTACTAATTTTCTCAAATCTCGGGTTTTATCCTTTAAGATTCAGTCTCTCTCCACAGTGTGGCTAATGTCTGAAATGTCTTAAACACTTGCACTTGCAAACCAGAGGATGGAGTCATAAATCCACAGCCTTTAGATAGCACACTGCTTGCAGCTCAACCACTTCACCTTGGAAGCCTCATTGAGTCATAGTCATTTTTTACAATAACAGGATTGAATTTTTTTGGGTGTGTTTTTACAGGCCAGATCTCTTCAGAAGAATTTGCCGGACAAGTCTCATTTGGTATTTCTAAATGCTGTAAGTTGACTTTTCATGTGTTCCTATCTTAAGTTTCTTACGGAAATTATTTCTGAGGGGCAAAATAAATTTGACAGAATCACTAAAATTGGGCTTTTTAGGGGATCGAAAATGCCTGTGAATCAAGAGATGAGGAAAATAATGGGCTCTCCTGTCAAATCCGGACGAAGAATAAACAGCCGTGGACGAGTTAGTCAGAGTTCTCTCCCTTGGCCGCACTCCGAACAGTAATCGGAAAACAAACGAAATAAACGACACACTTACCTATCATCCTGCGGCTGCGTGTAGGGCTGCGTACGGTTTCGTGAGGCATTGTGAATGGTTGTGTAGTCATCATCATGCGGTTGTTGGGTTAGAGTTAGGGGTAGGGTTAGGGGTAGGGTTAGGGTAAGATGTGAAAATTTTGACGTAGGATTTCGAAATACTGGCCGACAATCAGATGTTTGTGGGAGTGGCGCCACTGAAACTCTGCCAAATATGACGCCAATAGCGTGCGGCTGGTGCCCCCAATCGTTGGCGAATTGTGCGTTTGATTAGCATCCAGAGGCCCTCGATTGTTTGTGTGTGTATGGGACTGTGCGCGATTATAGGGAACTCCGGCGTCAAAATTGTCAAATATAACGCTAAACTTAACCCTACCGCTAACCCTAATCCTAATTCTACTCCCTAGCCTTAACCCCTACCCGTAACCACGCAAATTTATTGATCATTAAAGCATACAAATCGGCAAAAACCAACAAACAAAACACACCCAAAAAAAAACCAGATTTGTCCTGCAGCGTCGAAAAAAAAACCAGATCTGGGGGAAACAACCAAGCATTGGCAGCCCTGATGTCGACGTCACTGTCTTCTTTGTTTCGTTGTAGCTTTTCCGATCACTGTTTGGAGTGCGGCCACGGGAGAGAACTCTGACTAAGTCGTCCAAGGCTTTTTAGTCTTCGTCCGGATTTGACAGGAGTACCAAATAATGTATTGCTTCTGAAATAGACAATAAATTGGAAATTTATTTTAATTATCATGCATGAAGCGAGGTTTTCTTTCATTGCCCTAAAGCTTCCTTGAGAGAAGAAAAAAAAGCAGGTTGTGTGGGCATTTGAACCTTTTTATTATTCAAACAGATTCTCATTGCTTGAACATTTGAATAGAAATTGTCATTTAGTAAATCGTGCAGTAGACTTTGGGAACAGTGAATGAAATTAGTAGAGCATGCTTTCAGTAGTTGCCTATTTACCAATGACTTGGGGGGGTGGGGGGGGGGGGGGGTGGATGGATGAATGCTAGAGGCTTTTTCTCTTTCTAGTTTTTGGTCAGTGCATCCTTAGGGACTGACCAACTCTGAGAACCCTTGCAAGTTTTGTGTAGTCTGACAAAAATACATAGCGGAAGTCTTGCATGGGGTTCCATAAAACAAGAAAGGTGCCAGAGGATATCCCATTTTGTGTGACACAACAGTCATAACTGTCTGTCCCTCATGCCTGTAACTAAAATCACTACAGCACAACTAAGAAAATATATTTTCATGTCTTCTATTAATTCACTAACTTCTTTAGCAGTAAAGGATGTTGGCATCTGTGGCTAAGGCCTTGCGAACGTGCTTTGTAATTCCAGGGGGCCTTGTTAGATCCCAGCTGCACGTGATTTGACAGCAGACCACTTTCCACATTGCATTGGTTTTGACAGTGGTATCAAGAGCCGGCCGTTTAGGGGAAATGGCAAACTACGGAACGTAAGATTGTCTAGTTAAAACACACACAGCCAAAAAGTGCAGTGGTTAGTTCTGTGACGTCCTAGAAGGACAGGCAACTAACTTTTTTTAAGGGCTTTTTTATGCCAGTATGAGTTGGGCATATGATGCTAAACTCTAATTTTTATAGACCAGTCGGTGCCGGGCATGCTAGCTAAGTTGGCTAAACCATCTGTACAGCAACCGGGTGACAAACTTCTTGTAGTTTGAATTAACGCTCAGGGGTAGGCAGAAAAGCCACTTATTTCCCAGATTTACAGTATCTATCATGGAATCTAGGCTGAAGGGTTGTGATATCCATAGTACCGAGCCAAAGTGTTTAAGGGTCATGATTTCTGGATCCCCCCCAAAAAGACCAGTCAGTTCTAGGTGGGTGATCTGGTCTACATCATGTTAGCCACTTTTACTTTACAGGACATTACCTGGTACCTGCTTCAAGAAGCTTCTTTACAGAATCTCTAATTTGTATCCACAGCATGTCTGTGACCATTACCTAAAGAACCTCCAGAAGGTGGACTTCAATGTCTTTGAGGGCAAACTGCAGCGGAAGAACCCACTCTTGGCCTACCACATGTACTTCAATAAGTTGAGAAGAAAATTTTAAGGTTGCCTGTGACAGTTGTGGAAATAACTTGTACAGAGAAGAAGAACACTGACATGTTGCATGATCTGAGCATCGAGGAGAAGTGGCTCATAAACAGCATCCTGACCCAAAAGCTGAAGTATTTTGGCCTCGGTAAACGTCATGGTGGCCCTTAGAGAACAGTGATGAAGGGATTAGTTTCTGGGAAATGAGGCAGAGGCAGACCTCCGCGAGCATGGATACAAGACATTGAAGGTGTACTGGCTATAAAAGCACATAGGGCTGGGGACTGGCTAGAGAAAGAGAGACTTTCAGGTGTGCAGTGATGTGAGTGGTGTTATGTAAAGAACCTGCTGAGTGATGATAGTATAATCACTGGTACACACATTTCAAGTTCATGTGCTTTGGTGAGCTTCATTTGTCCACTCTGTTAGATAACTTATCAGGTCATAATGATGCAGTATATATGTTTTTATATATTTTGTAATCTTTTGCACCGGAGTATATATCATCTGATGGAGAACAACTAAGGCAATTACTTATAAATCACAGACATTCATTAACTGGTGCCTGTGCAGAATAGAGGGAATTAAATGATATGATAGAATAACTAATGTAGAGCTTTGGGAGAGAACTAAGTAAGCTCCAGTTGACTAAGAGGTGAGGATAAGACGCTGGCGTTGGATAGGACACACATTGAAAAAAAACCGGAGAATAGCATCACTAGAATATTTTTACATTGGAACCTACAGGTGCATAGGAATAAAGGAAGGCCAAAAACACATGGAGAAGAGAGCTATAGAATGAAGTTAGGAAGATGGGGAGAGCTCTATGTGATAGCAAAGGATAGAACGACTTGGCATGAGTTGGTTGAGGGCCTCTGCTCCACTGGGAGAGGTAAAAGGCAGAAGAAGAAAAAGTATAGATCATCTTAGAGCATGTGAGAGCTACAGCCTGTGTTTGGGCACATTTAGTTGTTTCTTCTGAGCGAACTACTAGCATATTTGATACTTATTTTGTTAATGACACCTTTTCATCTTTCCCGATGACAGTGTCTATATTGTATTATGGATAGGCATGGGACTCACAGACAATTAAGGCCAGGGGTAAAGTTCCTCCTCTCCATAGCACAAAACCTGGGCTCTGCTGTAGAGACCAAATGTTGCCCAGTCAGCATGATCCCTCAATTACCTGCCTTGTTTTCCAAAGGAAAAGGTAACCCCAATACATTTGGAACAAAGTTAGCTGCCGTATCAGAACAGTGCTATGCGTGTCCATCCTTATATGTTAACAAAGTAGTAAATTGATGATAGTCCTAAAATGGGTACCAGGATGGGCTGTCCTGGGAAAGTAAAGACAGCCGGCGTAATGCTGACTACATTACCCACAGAGTGCTGATGGTCTGTAAAAATATGGGACGCTCTGCCCATATGCCCGATGCGCCGAAAGGCGTGAAATGGGATCTTTCCTTTTTTTACTTTTTTACCTGTAGTTTCATAGACCAATCAGCTTTTGATTGGTAATATGGTCAGCATCATACCAAACACCTTCTCCCCAGGGCATTCTAAGCAACCATTTGTCTGGGGCCTAGGTCACATATTACAAGCTCTCCTTGACACCAGTTGGAACTGGGCCAGTAGGCAAGTATGCTGTTTACTGCAGACTACCACTTATATACATTACTTGTTGGTGATCTTAGCTTCAGCAGTAATAAACTTTGTATTTGGTAGTTTTCCCAAAGACAGCATTTGGTGCACTGTAGCCAGCTTTCATTGTGAAGATGGCACAGTATCTTTTTTTTTCTTTCTATTATTTTGTTCTTGTAGTGCTGTAAATTACAAAGGTCAGATTTTTAAGAGCATGCATCTTTCCCATTGCAACATACGCCTGTGAGACCTGGACACTTACTAAACAAGCGGAACAGCGCATAAATGCATTTGAATATAAATGTTACAGACAGCTTCTAAGAATATCTTGGGTAAAGAAAAGAACAAATGCATCCATACTTCAAGAGCTGAATATTGAAGAGGGTTGGCTAGTAAAGACAATAATTTCCAAGAAAATTGAAATATTTTGGTCACTTGAAACGTCATGGAGGTCTAGAGAGAACAATAATGGAGGGGTATATGCCTGGGAAGAGAGGAAGAGGAAGGCCAAGGAGAAGATGGGTGCAGGATGTGGCAGATGATCTCCAGATGGGTGTATCAGACGCAGGACATCTTGCTCATGATAGGAAGGTTTTCCGGAGGGTTGTTATGGCAGCGAGGTTCCGCGAGGGACATGCTACTGAATGAATGAATGAGTGCTGTAAATATTAGTTGGGTGTTTCTGCTTCTTCTTCTATAATTCCTTGTACAGTTATGACTATTATTGTATATTATACAAAAATTTTTTTTTTATATAAAGGTTTAAACTTATTTATGTATTTAAAAAAAAATAAAAGTAAAGATCCAAGATTTGTGCAGTTCTATTAAATTGGCTTGTTTATTTGTTTGTTTTATGGTCAGCAAAAATCTAGAAAGTAAGTAAAAAAGTAAAGGTCCTTTTCCACGCTTTTAGGCGTGTAGGGCATATAGGGCTAGACCTATATTTGTATAAACCAAATAGCACAAGATGGGTGACGTGGTCAGCATCATGTTGGCCACCTTAACTTCCTGGGACTACACCCTGTACCCACTCAAGGTTAGGTCCACCTTGACGTCAAGGTAATATTTGAAAAAAGTCTGGCTCCGCGAAGAATCGAACCCACGACCTTCCGATCCACACGGAAGCATCTAGCCGCTGCGCCACGGCGACTATATCTTGAAACGCTTCTAATAGAAAATCTCTTAGTAACATAACTAGGCAAAATCCGAGAGAAATGATCAGTAAAACTGCAGAAATGTGGAATTGTATGAGGGGATAGATCTGAACTCAAGGCAGAGGACAAAACTGGAGACAGAGAGGATGGCTCAGGATCGAAATGAGTGACAACAGTTTGTCTCTGCCTTGTGTGCCTCTGGGTGCGATGAGGATTGATTGACAGATGAAGGAAATTGCTGGCCGCTCACACAATCATAAAATCAACACACACACACACTCTCTCCTCTCTCTCTCTCTCTCTCTATCTCTCTCTCTTTGTTGTTTTTTCTTCTTCAGCATTCTGAGCTCTTGAGGTTCACTGCTGCAGATATCATCAGCCTCCATTCTTCTCTCTTATTAGGTTTCTCTTGCCAGATGGTGACTAAGGGTAGATCTGTGAGTATATTATCAATGAAGTTGAGAAGCTTGTGTTTCTCAATGACCCCCGAGAACTATGCTGGTTGTAGCATAGCAACCAATAAAGTCTCCCAAGCTGGACAGGTCAGAGGTGTGAGAACAAAGTGAAACATGCTGGTCTTCCAGGTGGGGAGATGAAGCGTGAGGCCACCACTCCATTTTTGTAAAAACCACTTTGTCATGAAACTGGTATCCTAAGTCTCTCCTTTCGAAGAACAACAACCTTGGGGCATTAGTACACCCTTAGATGCAACAAATAAAATTTATCCGAGAGAAATGATATGGTAGTGCCAGGAAAACTGACATATTGAATGAGGAGAGAATGTGCACTAGAAATCAGATTCTATGTTTGAAGTGAGAATCAGCAAGAAATGTGCACATCATAGGGAAGATGAATCATGATTTAGCCAGGATATAGGAGAGACACTGATTGTTAGGGGACTGGGTGGTCTCAATATATGGCGTCTGCCTCAAGTGCTAGAGGTCCCGGGTTCAAGCCCCTGTGAAGGCTGGGATTTTTTCACAATGACTTCTAGTAATTTCCTCTGGTCTCTGGGTAGTAAGATCGAACGCCCGTGTGTATTGCTGTGCATGTAAAATATCCCTTGACAGTTGGAAATCAAAAAAGAGTAGCCTAACGGGCAAAATTTGGAGTTAAAAATCTAAAGTATTTCAGGATCCTTGATGTTGTACGAAGTTCGTGCACTCCGCTGAGATTCTTCAGACTCAGTCTTGAGTCGGAAGTAGAACAGAGCACTTATGGCTTCCTACCCTAGTAATATGATGTAGATCCGTCATCAAAACCTAAATCTAAACCACTGATTGTTGAGGCATTCATAGTACCGGACTCCTCGCTTGTGGCAAAAGAATAGAAAGCAAGATTAGGTATCATTTCAAGAAAGAGAGCAACCGTCTGAATGGGGCTGGTGTGCGTTATGTTGAAAACTTGCAGCGGTAATTTGTGTGAAGTCTGTGTGGGCACAGTGGAGTGAGATCATTTCGGAGCAAATGAGTAAACATTCTCTGGGTGGTTGATTGTTCATATGGCAAGGACATAGACACAGATTATATGTAGGTCACCCTTAGCAAAGTCAACATAGACGAAGACAGGCAGCTTAGGGGCGGGGAAGGAAGATGCTGTAAATCATCATCAGGTTCCATGTCGTGTGTGGAATGTCCATGTGGGCTTCATGTGAAAGACTTGTCTCGTCTATCCAACTTCAAGGAGGCATGTTTGTTAGACTTATAATTTTAGAACTCATGCTGTTTACACTTTGCAGACCAAAAGGACATATCTGTGTGTAATGCCTTTGTTCTTCTTCCTAAAGTCCATGTCGTGTCGCATTGGTAGTCATGTCCATCCACAACCTTCTGTCTCGTGTACTTTCAAACAACTCTTGACACAGATGATCCTCCATGCCATGATGTCCGACTGACCAGCATCCTTTCTCTCAGTCTCCCTCTGCCTCTCCTCCCCTCCAACTTTTATACTGTCACAATTTCCTGCAGTTTTTTCCTTATCACATGACCAAAGAATGCAGATTGTCTCTTTCTGATGTGGGTAATCAGTTCTCTTTGTGAGTCAGTTTCAAGACATCTTCATTATTCTTCTATCTGTCCAGGGTATTCTCATCATTCATCTATAAAACCATATCTCCGCAGCTTCCAAATAAGATTGCACTAAATTACCAACTGTCCGTGATTCACTTCTCTATATCAAGCTAGGATTTATATATCTTATCATGTTGGAAGTCGCCGTGGCGTTGGCGGCTAGACGCCCGGCTGCGGTTTGGAAGGTAGTTGGTTTGCATCCTGACACAGCCAGACTTTTTAAACAAAAATTACCTTGACTCCCAGGCCGACCCAGCCTTGAGTGGGTACCAGGTGCAATACTGGGAAGTAAAGGCAGCTGGCGTGATGCTGACAACATCAACCACCAAGAGCCGATTGGTCTATAAAAATATAGCTCTAGCCCTAATTCCCAATACGCCTAAAGGCGTTGAAAAGGGACCTTTACTTATCATGTTGTACTGCCTTATTTTATGGGAAATGTTTTTTTTCTTTCCTGTCAAGTGTTGAGCTTTGAAGAGACCTCACAGCACTCTGGACATTCCCATAAGCACTCTGTCTTCATCTTCAGCAGCCTCTCTTGTGTTTCCTCTGAGTGTCAATCAGATCCCCCTGGTCACTCCCAGTTGTACCATTCTCTCCAAACACACAATGATTGATTCATGCCTCTGCACTGTTTACTTGCTCCCAACTGACCTTGACCACATTTAGTTTGTCATGCATAAATTCACCACCCATTGGTGAAGAACCAACCGGTCTGTCTGCCTGTTCATTTCCTAACACTCCTGCCTGCTGCTGAGAAAATATCCAAAGAACTCAAACCACACCGGACCTCTGAAGCAATGCTTGCCATTTTCTTGTCTTCTACTATACTCAAGTGTCTGGGAAAAAAAACAGCTAACACAGATGCAAGGGAATATGGTTTATTCATCACATACAAAACAACAGTAACACAAATCTGCTCACACTTGTACACATGGTCAGAATAAATATTATATTTTAAGTACAAGATGGTCTGGAAAACTGCTTGTCAACTAGGTGGGATCAATGTGACCATATCTTCTCAGCAACAGTATACATCTTAGCAATAAACCATCTTTGTTGTGCATGATCAGGTGGGGTTTGTTAATTACACATCAATGTTACAACAATCTGTAATCATGTTTGAAACTACCTCAGTGAGAATGATTGCTGTTGAGCTGAAATAATTAATAACTGAACATCAAAAGAAAAAAAAGCAAACGGGAAGATTGTTGCGAGTAAATACACAAAGACAACATATATATGTTTGGTTAAAGAAGGAAAATATAGGCAGACGACAAATAAATTTTCGGTCAAAGAAGAGAAATGAAGACAAACAAATAAATGTTTGATCAAAGAAAGGAATTGCAGAGAGACAACAAATAAATGCCTAGTCAAAAAACAAAAATATAGACAACACAAATGATGGGTCAAAGAAAAGAATTACAAACAATAAATAAATGCTTGGTCTAAAAGGGAAAAATCCGAGAACAAACAAATGTGTGGACAAAATAGAGAAATACAGACATTACATAAATGTTTAGTCAAAGAAGGGAAATATCAGTGAGACAACATTCTGTGTCAATTAACGGGTACCATTGTGAGGAAAACAGAAATAAACCCACTGCCTCCCCAACAAGCATATTGTAAGAGTCGACTAACTGGGGCTTCCTTTAAAGTCAGAGAACATCTGCCTGAAAGGCATGGAACCAACAATCTGCACACACATAAGTAAGATCTGCAAAATGGATGTGCATGCAATACTCAGGTTCTGGAACAAGACTAAGTCCAGAAGTAGACAAACAACCAGAAATTTTCGCCACAGTGTACTGCCGGGAAAAGCGAAGAAGAAGATGCAGAGGAGAGACAAGAACAAATGTTTGGTTAAAAAAGATTCACACAAACAACAAATAAATGCTTGGTCAAAGAAGGGAAATATCAGACAGATAAAAAATAAATGCCTGGGCAAAGAACCGAAATATCAGACGGACAACAAATAAATGCTTGGTCAAAGAAGGGAAATATCAGACAGATAAAAAATAAATGCCTGGGCAAAGAACCGAAATATCAGACGGACAACAAATAAATGCTTGGTCAAAGAAGGAAAATATATGACGGACAACAAATAAATGTTTGGTCAAAGAAGTGAAACACAGACAACAAAAAAATGTTTGGTCAAAGAAGTGAAACATAGACAACAAATAAATGTTTGGTCAAAGACAGGAAATACAGACAGACAACAAATAAATGTTTGGTCAAAGAAGTGAAACACAGACAACAAATAAATGTTTGGTCAAAGAAGTGAAACATAGACAACAAATAAATGTTTGGTCAAAGACAGGAATTACAGACAGACAACAAATAAATGTTTGGTCAAAGACAGGAAATACAGACAGACAACAAATAAATGTTTGGTCAAAGACAGTAAATACAGACAGACAACAAATAAATGTTTGGTCAAAGACAGGAAATACAGACAGACAACAAATAAATGTTTGGTCAAAGACAGGAAATACAGACAGACAAAAATAAATGTTTGGTCAAAGACAGGAAATACAGACAGACAACAAATAAATGTTTGGTCAAAGACAGGAAATACAGACAGACAACAAATAAATGTTTGGTCAAAGACAGGAAATACAGACAGACAACAAATAAATGTTTGGTCAAAGACAGGAAATACAGACAGACAACAAATAAATGTTTGGTCAAAGACAGGAAATACAGACAGACAACAAATAAATGTTTGGTCAAAGACAGGAAATACAGACAGACAACAAATAAATGTTTGGTCAAAGACAGGAAATACAGACAGACAACAAATAAATGTTTGGTCAAAGAAGGAAATACAGACAGACAACAAATAAATGTTTGGTCAAAGACAGGAAATACAGACAGACAAATAAACGTTTGGTCAAAGACAGGAAATACAGACAGACAACAAATAAATGTTTGGTCAAAGACAGGAAATACAGACAGACAAATAAATGTTTGGTCAAAGAAGGAAAATAAAGACGGCTCACAGCCTTCAGAATATCAGGCTTAACCACTTCGTCACTGTCCCATTATAAAACCATCATCATCATCATGTAGCAGGTCCTTTGCAGAACGTCGATATCATCACGGTCTGCCTGAAAGAAACTTGGTCTCTCGCCAGCTCTCCGCCTCAAGTACTTTCTAAAATGTCGTGGTGCTTGATATGACCAAAATATTTCTGCTTCCGAGACAGGATGCTGTTTATTAGACAATTTTCCTTGATTATAAAACTAACAAACCCTAATATGAGAACCTACCAGCCAATGTAAAAAAAAAAAAAAAAAACAGTGAAGGAAAATCAACTGTCTAGAGAAATATTTGCTACATAATTATAAAAAAATCATTTGTACAATGTCTATAAAATGCAATTATATAAAAACAAGCAGTGGAAATGCCTTTGAAAACATAATAGCATAATTATATTCTTAGAAAAATTGTGGGAACATAACCAACGATATGTAATTAGTGTAAAACTTGTGGAGGAAATGTCTATGACATGCAACTAAATTAAAATAGGTAGAGAAATGTATATGAAATATAGTTATTTTGTAAAAACTAGGGAACATTTCCATGAAATATAATAATGTAAAAATCAGTAAGGGAAATTGTCCATGAAATGCAATTATATTTTTAAAAACCTGCGGGAAATGTCCACGAAATAAAATTATATAAAAACCAGCGAGAAATTTCCATAAAATGTAATTACATAAAAACCACCTGGGAAAATGTCCATGAATTACAACTGTCACTACTGTCTGTTTTTACCACCTTTTAGGGTGGTGACATAAGCAGTTGCCTGTTGCTTAAAAAATGTATATTTTTATACAAAGTAATTACATTATTTTTTAATGTGTATTTTTATCAAGTATAACAATTTACAGATAAATGAATAAGTAAATGCCTGCAATTGTAAAAACCAGAATGTGGTAAAATTTCCAGAAGTCTTTTCATTTGAAACAGTCACAAACAGAATTATTGACATAATTTTCAGAACTTGTAACATGGTAATTTTAATTAAATGTAATGTTCTTTTTTAAAGTAGCCGAGTTGAGTTGAGTCAAGAATTGACATCAAAGCACCATGTGTGCTCCATCCTCATCTTCAGCAGCCAGTGCAGAGTTCCAATACTGATGGTACCAGTCACAATCTGGTTATATGCCCGTCTTGCCTTTCCTCTGAGTGTAGTGAGCCGGCCAGACCCTCTGGTTACACACAGGTGCCTCATTCTCTCCAGGCCATAATAATCTTGTTTCTCTACTAATTCCTCGGCTTGTTCCCAAAGGCATTGACCACATCTGCCTTGTCATGTATCAATTCACCACACAGTGGTGAAGATCCAGCCAATCTGTCTGCCTGTTCATTACCCACTACGCCAGCATACCTGGAGAAAAGATCCAATGTATGCTCACTACCCATGACCTTCCTAGTGAAGCTTGCCACTCTGCTCGAAGCATCCCTGTCTTCACCATTCTCAGCATGCCATCAGAGTCAGTTACAATTACGACATGTGTATGCATCTTGTTTTCTAGCCACCGGATAGCTGCAGTTACCGCCTCCACCTCTATTCTCAGGCTAGATGTTGTGATGTCGTATGCTAGGCTGTCTTGCACTAAAGATTTTCACTTTTTATGCAATAATACTTTTTATTAAAAGCAGTCATGAAACTATGTAGTTATGTTTGAGGTTCACAAACAAGCAGCACAGTAGGTTACATGATATAATAGCAATAAGCAGATTTTCTTGATGTGGTAATTCTGACGACCAAAGGAATGAGTTAAGTAATTTGTGGGTGATTTTTATCAAATGCAATTATATGAGTATGCTTGAAGTAATTCTGATCGATGTAATGATAGTGTGTTTTGTTCAATTTTTATCAAATGCAATATGTTTTGGGTAATTTTGATCAATGTAATATGAGTATGTTTTGGATTATCTGATTTTATCTAACAATATGAGTATGTTCTGAGCAATTCTGATCAATGTAATGTAGTATGTTTTTGTGTAATTTTGATCAAATGGTAACTTTTTATCAATGTAATGATATACGTATATTTTGGGTAATTTTGACCAAAAGCAGTAACACACATTTTGGATAATTTTCATCAAATTTCATCATAAAATTTCATTATATTCATTAAGTAATGATATGCAGCAAGAGGTCAACCAAGAAAGTTACAGAAACCGATGCTTTATTAATATCCTACCCCAAACAGGGGAAATCCACAGGTCATGGGACAGTCTAATATTTCAGGGGGTGGTAGATAGGCTGCATGCAGTAATGGGACCTAGGCTGCACTCTTTCATGGGATGTAGGTGGGTTGGGGTTAGGACCAGTTCTAGATGTTTTGGGGTCATTAAAAGCATCAAAAAGCCAGGAAACCCAGTCTTACCACCTTCTAAAATTTTGGACTGTCCTGTGATGTCATCTGGGGTAGGATTTTAATAAAGTACCCAGAAACCCAATATGAGACTGATACAAGATACACAACTAGGAGAAGACAGAAAACTACAGGAAACTATATCTAACTCTTCTCTGCGACGCTTTACGGCATAAGCAGTAGGATAATAGAAGAAGGATGATATGCATATGTATTTAATCAAAATAATGATATGTGTGTTTTTTTAGTCAGTCTGATCACATATAATACAAATAAGTGCTGCATAATGCTCACATTAAAAAAAAAAACATATGAATGTGTGCTGTAATTGTTATGAAACGTAATGATATAAATGTGTATCAGTTTACTTATATTAATTTAATAGCATCTATAAAATGTGTGTGGAATGACAAATTATATGTGATGATATTGGTATTATCTGAATGCATGTAATAATATTGAAAGAGTCAGGCAAATTTATAGATTTACAATGAAATAATAAGAAATGAACTTGCTAATTATTTTCAAATGTAATATTACAAAATGTGCGGGGGTTGAATGCTAGCAAATCTTTATTTAGTAAAATAATGTGCACATACACAAGACGGTAGAATCAGCTAGTGGTTTTTCTAGAGAAGCTGCTCACCAGTGTCCCCCTAGTCACAAAATCTAAAATCAGCCACATGTGGTACTGCTAAAACCATCCACAATTCTGAGTTCATGAAGAAAAAGCCGTTTGCATATTAATGGAATCCACCAGGCTTGAAACTGCCCCACACACCATTACCTAACTCTATCTCTACCCCTAGCTAACTAACTCTAACCCTAATCCTAACTCTAACCGTAACCACAACAATCTCTCAGTGGCTATGGGAGAAGGTCACTTAAGTCCAAAATCCTTCCTCGGTTAAGGGAGAAGATATGAGGTCAAAAATCCCTCCTAGGTAAGGAGGAAGACTATGAGGTCCAAATTCCCTCCTAGGTTAAGGGAGAAGACTATGAGGTCCAAAATCCCTCCTAGGTTAAGGAGGAAGACTATGAGGTCCAAAATCCCTCCTAGGTTAAGGAAAAAGACTGAGGTCCAGAATCCCTCCTAGGATAAAGGAGAAGACTGAGGTCCAAAATCCCTCCTAGGTTAAGTGAGAAGACCAATGAGGTCCAGAATCCCTCCTAGGATAAAGGAGAAGACTGAGGTCCAAAATCCCTCCTAGGTTAAGTGAGAAGACCAATGAGGTCCAAAATCCCTCCTAGGGTAAAGGAGAAGATTGAGGTCCAAAATCCCTTCTAGGTTAAGTGAGAAGACCAATGAGGTCCAAAATCCCTTCTAGGTTAAACCTTTTGCCCTGAGAAGCCACAAACCCAGCACTTCTGGTAGGCTCCAATTCCCGGTAAATGCCACTTTTCCGGCTGTCTGCAGTGGCTTTTTTATGAGACATCTAGTTGATGCCACTGGTTACTTTTTTTGCCGATATTTATGTTTACTAAAGTACCATTAAAGGGTTCTCTTGTCAACCGCAAGGCTTTTTTTTAAATTAGTTAATCAGAATTTTTTAATGGCCTCAATGTTAATTAAAGGTCACTAGGTCACCACATGAGTCACTTGATACAAACATTTTTTAGGCCATAGTGAATGTATTTCACTGAATTCTCCACTCTGTTCATGCTTATGAACTATTCTCTTTATATGCCAGAAGAAGACAAATTAATTTAAATGAACATAAAATAATTGTTTAAAAAATGTAATAACCTGTATAAAATATTTTGTAAAGTTTTTTTCTTCTTCTGGGAATTTCCAGGGAATCTGAACTGCTTATTTTTGTATTTTTATTTTTGAAGTTTCTGAGGCAAAAGGGTTAAGGGAGAAGACCACACAGAGGTCCAAAATCCCTCCTAGGTTTATGGAGAAGTCCACTGAGGTTCAAAATCCCTCTTTGTTTAGGAAGAAGTCCAATGAGATTCAAAATTCCTCCTAGATTTATGGAGAAGCCCACTGAGGTTCAAAATTCCTCCTAGGTTTATGGAGAAGCTCATTGAGGTTCAAAATCCCTTCTAGGTTTATGGAGAAGCTCACTGAGGTTCAAAATTCCTCCTAGGTTTATGGAGAAATCCACTGAGGTTCAAAATCCCTTCTAGGTTTATGGAAAAAGCCCACTGAGGTTCAAAATTCTGCCTAGGTTTATGGAGAAATCCACTGAGGTTCAAAATCCCTCCTAGGTTTATGGAGAAGCCCATTGAGATTCAAAATCTCTCCTTGTTGAGGGAGAAGACCAATAAGGTCCAGAGTCCCATGACTGATCAGGAAGATGACTACTGGGTTCCAAAACCCCTCACTTCTAGATTAACTCTTTGAGTCCCAGGGGGTTTAGCATCACAGGCCCAGGGGGTAGTAAGGAAAGTAATAAAATCGGCGCATCATGCGTTCATTGGGCTTCTAGGTAGAAACCTATGAACGTATGATGCGTTCCTTGGGACTCAAAGAGTTAAGGAAATAGGCAACTACATCTCTCTTTTTTTAGGCCAAACAAACTGTTGTCATGTCATTCGCCACTTCTTTCTTATTTATAGATTACTCCCCTTCCTGTTCTTGTTTCAAAACATTTAAACATGTACATAGAGATTTTTTTTTAAACTTCTTTGTGACTTGTGTTTTTTCCTCTGGAATTTCCGGGAATCTGGTCTTTTTTTTTTTTCACTGGTCTTTTTTTTTTAAATTCACAACTAAGGAAAAGGATATCCAATGGATACTAATTCCCTGGGACGTCTGAAGTGATGCTTGCCAATCTGCATGGAGCATCTCTGTCTCAACATGCTCTTGAGTCAGTGGCTGAACATATTTTTGGCCATTCCTAATCTCCATTTCATTTCTACATCCCTTATACCATCACCTGTGATTAAATGTTTCAGACAGGAGCAGATTCTTGCTTATTCTAGTATTTCCCTATTTGTTGCATTGTGCAATCTTTAAATGTTTACATTAACATATTGTTCCTCCCTCACCCACACATCATACACTTTCTCTCTTCCCCCCATCCCGCAACCCCCCTCTCTCTCTTTCTCCTTCTCTCTATCTCTCTCATATGGATATCAATACCAAGCATAGTCATGTTAATTAAATAAAAGGTTAGTTGCAACTGTCATTATTTTGAAGCATAAATGATACAGTCAGTTACCATTGTCTGCACAACAAAACTCATCTCAGAGTCAAGCAAACATTTGGAATAAATATGATATGTGAACTCTAAGCGGAAACACATGCTACCTGACACAAACATATATGTGAGTAAATCTAAGTTGAAACATATGCACTCAGATACGCACTCATGTTAGCACATCTAAAAATATGCGTACATCTTGACAGAGACACATAAATATATGATAGACGATTGTGGAGAATACTTGAAAACAACATTTTCCCAATGAGAATTTGAATACTTAAGACACAAACAACTGGTCACAGTCTGTTCTGAGGCATACTTGCTGAGAAATTTATTTTGTCAGGCTCTTATTCTGGAAACAGGTTCAATTCAATGGTAAAATAACAATTTTTTTTTATCAGAGTAAAAAAAAAACATCATAATCCGCATAGACCATGGCAATTAAGTACTTGCAACCAATTGACTGTGTCTTCAATAATAAAAAATATTTGATATATGTTTAAAAAAAAATTTTTTTAAGATGTGAAACAAGCCATAAGTGACAAGTAAACACAATTATAAAACTTATATTTAACCCAAAAAAAAACCCACACCTGTATTTGTGCAGGTAATTCAGCACTAAAAACCAGCAAACACACAGAACTGGCTGAAACTAGTGCCTTCATGCTAGAAAACAAACAGCAAATAACAACCATAAAAAAATAAAAATAAAGATTTGTAAGGAAAGTAATGTGAAAATAATGCTGCGGTTTTTAAATATAAAATAATATTTCACTTATATTTCTGCAGACAGATTTAACATAAATAAAAGCGGGCAAAAACCATGACATTAAAAAGTGGACAAAAATCATAACACAAAAAGTGGGCAAAAATTACATCTCAGGTGAGAGAAATATGTCTAGAAATTATGAGTTTTCTTAATTCTTACAGTGCCAAGGAAGTTACCATTTGTTAACCGTTTATACAGTTATGTTCCCGTATTTAAAATAAACTGGTCCACAAGTTGTATCCGACTATCTCCAGTTCACAACCTTAATTTGACATAAATAAATCACACATAAAGCATAAAGTGTAGACTAAAGCGTGTATCATTCTGATAGTGGCTTCAATAACACAACAAGAAATAGGCATAAAAGCAAATGATCAATGTCGCATGTGGGTTTTGTGGTTCTGTAGAATACAGTTGCACTATGAAATATTTATGGGTTACTACCCATGTGCCATGATGATGTTGTTCCATTTTACCAAATCTCAAAACCTCAAACCTCTATCTTATAACTGTTGATTCGACAATTCTGTTATAAAGATCAAATATTAACACATACCAATATCATGTTTAAGGGTAAAAGACTTGATGCTAATGGGTAAATATTTCTTCATTTTCAAACTTTCTGTCTGAAAACTTATTTCAGGGTGAGAGTAGCCTTGATGAAAGCCATTATGCAGCCCAAACCTTCTAAAGTACCATACAGCTTTGTCATGATTGGGGTGGGAACAGGCCAGATAGCTTCTCTGTAAAATGTGTGATTTTGAGGAATACAGGCTCTAAAATTGGGGAGTAAAACAATGAAATCGTTATAACAAAATACTGATTTTTACTAAAACCATTCATCACAATGTAGAGAATATCCTGCCATTGTGGTTCCCAGAAACCTCATACATCATCGAAATCTGTCTCACTGTCAGCCAGTTCTGCTGAATCTTCCATGGCCATTGACTTCAAGCTGGTCGACCGGGGCGAGGTGACACTCCCATGTTTGTTATTCCGACCAATACATTGCACAATTTATTGCCAGACATATTTGTATGTATCACACACGTGGTGCATTACTACAGAATCGTATCAACATATCATGAAGCACAATCCTTCACACGGAAATACAAAAATCTCACTGTCTTATCTTTTATTACTGTAGGTCTCATCAATGGAATTTTCAAACTGATCACATGTACTTGTTGTCTGCACAATGCAGTATTGTTCATTTGTTTCTGTCACGGCTTCCACCAATGTCAATTAACCATGTTGACGGTTTTGGTTGATACTTTTCATCTTTCCAGACGATAGTGCTCGCAATAGGGAGGCATGGAAATCACAGCTCATCCATAGCACAAAGCCTAGGCAGTAGAGGCCACGTGTTGCCCACGCAGCATCATCTGTTTCTCCACTTTCTTTGTTAACTCCAAGGTAAAGATTCTTTATCTTTTTCTCCAGCATTCTGAACCCTTGAGGTTCATTGTAGACGATTTCATATGCGTCCATTCATCTCAGTGAAGGGCTTTCTCTTTCCAGTTGGTGACTCCAAGTATCTGTAGGTCTGCCTGTATATTATCTCTCCACGATCTTCCTGGTCTGCCTCATAGTCTATGCCTATTCATTTCTTTTGTTTACACAGTTTTATTGTTTGTTTCTGTTATCGCTGATAGTTTAAACATTTACAAATAAGACAAAAGTCTTATTTAGTACCCAGAGTTAGTGGTCTCATCATTCACCTTTCTGACATGGACCAAAACTCACAGGTTGACACAGAGTAAAAAATGGATACCATGTAATGTCCTGGCAAATAAAGGCGTGTTGAATAATGTTCACCACACCACCCGCCGACTTCCAGTTAGTCTTTGAAAATATGAGTCTAAGCATCACATGAATGATTTCTTTGAAAATATGAGTCTAAGCATCACATGAATGATTTCTTTGAAAATATGAGTCTAAGCATCACATGAATGATTTCTTTGAAAATATGAGTCTAAGCATCACATGAATGATTTCTTTGAAAATATGAGTCTAAGCATCACATGAATGATTTCTTTGAAAATATGAGTCTAAGCATCACATGAATGATTTCTTTGAAAATATGAGTCTAAGCATCACATGAATGATTTCTTTGAAAATATGAGTCTAAGCATCACATGAATGATTTGCCAATGATGTGAAAATGGAAACAATTTTTTTTTTTTTAACTTTACTCACCTAGAATGTGTAACATAACAGAAAAATAATTAAAAGTTACAGATAAATTATAAAAATTCATTAACTCATGCCTTAGCAAAACAAAAGGATTAAAATGGTATGATAGAATCACTAATGCAGAGCTTATGAAGAGAACGTAACTTATTCCAGCAGAAAAAGAGGTGAGGAAAAGATGCTGGCACCGGAGAGGATGCATACTGATGACTAGAAAACTTTTCTTCCGGAACCAGCAGGCTAAAGAAACAGGAAAAAACACTTGAACAAGAGAATGGTGGACCACATCAGCAAGCCAAAAGAAAAAACATAACGGATTGAAAATCCTCAAACTCTGGACTCAATTAGGATATCTCTCACCTGGACTGAAGGTGTCGCACCTGGACATCCAAACTCTCTACCTGAGTCTGCAGCTCTTCACTAGTTCTCTGAGCTTTCCGGGCTGCATTTCGTTGTTTATCAACCTGGAGCACAGAATAGTTTAAATATTAAAAGCCAGGAATGAGGACAATGATATCAAAAGCCAGAAGTCAGCATGATACTGAATATTAAGTCAGGCATGATGATGAGAGGCAATATTAAAAGCCAGGAAAAAGGGTGATAAAAGCCAGGAATGAAGGTGATAAAAGCCAGGAATTAGGGTGATAAAGGCCAGGAATGAGAGCGATAAAATCCAGAAATAAGGGTGATAAAAGCCATGAATGAAGGTGATAAAAGCCATGAATGAAGGTGATAAAAGCCATGAATGAAGGTGATAAAAGCCATGAATGAAGGTGATAAAAGCCAGGAATAAGGGTGATAAAAGCCAGGAATTAGGGTGATAAAAGCCAAGAATGAAAGTGATAAAAGCCAGGAATTTGGGTGATAAAAGCCAGGAATTAGGGTGATAAAAGCCAAGAATGAAGGTGATAAAAGCCAGGAATTTGGGTGATAAAAGCCAAGAATGAAGGTGATAAAAGCCAGGAATTTGGGTGATAAAAGCCAGGAATTTGGGTGATAAAGGCCTGAATTCTTCTTCTTCTTCTCTTCCATCTTGTACCTCATCGCCAATCGGGGGGAGATGTAACATTCGTTGATGACCTCTGCAAGAGCACTATCAGGACTGATGTTCATTTCTGTGAGGCTGTTCTTAATGCCATTAATCTATATTTTACTAGGTCTTCCACTCGCTCTAAACCCATTGTAACGTTTTAGTTTGGCTCGCTGTGGCAGATAGTACCAGGGCATGTTTGTTAGGTGTCCAAACCACTCCATTTGTTGTTCTTTGATGACCTGTGAGACTGGGTTTATTCTTAGCATTAATCTGATTTCTTGATTTCGTACTCCGTCTTTTTTTTAAACTCAAGGCCATTAATGAGAGCGATAAAAGTCAGAAAGGAGGATGACAAAAATCAGGAATGAGGGTGATAAAAGCCAGGAATGAGGATGATAATATCAAAAGCCAGGAATTAGCATGATACTGAATATTAATAGTCAGGCATAGGATGACAGACAATATTAAAAGCCAGGAATGCGGAAGATACTGAATTTTAAAAGCAAGGAACAAGGACAATAATGAATATTAAAAGTCAGGAGTGAGAAATAAAAAAATCTTTAAAATCCAGGAATGATGGTGATACATGTGAATCAATCTATCATCCAACAGTGTGCTGCAATACCTCATCTTCTACCGCTGCCAGGTCATGTTTTAATTTGTCCACTCGGCTCCTCAATGCGCGGACCTCCGTCTCATACTGCTCTGCCCGTCGCCGATGATGGTCTAGTTCCGTTGTTCGCTCTGCTAGCACCTTCTTCAGCTTCACATGAATGTGCTGCAGGTCAGCCAGCTCCTAGACATAGGAGGAAATAACATTTAGTGATTCAATTAGAAGAAGTCATACATCGGGGAAATGCAGTGGTGTAGTGGCTAAATGCTGGCCTGCCACTCTGAAGGTCTAAGGTTCAAATCCGCATACACTAAGATTTTATTTCAAAAATCTTCTTCTTCTTTGCGTTCACTGGTTGTGAACTCCGACTGGTAGTTCTGGAGGTCCATCCTCTTCTGGGCTTTAGTCTTGTTCCAGAACTTGAGTTTTGCATGCATATCCATTTTACAGATATGCCATATTTGTTTGCAGACTGTTGGTTCCTCGCTTCTCAGGCAGATGCATTCTGACTTCAAAGAAAAACCCCTTAGTCTATTCTTACAACATGCTTGTTGGTAAGGCAGTGGGTCTATTCATTTTTCTCATCTAAAATAGGGCCCCAGATGCCTCACGGGGAATTTCAATACTTGCTCTTGCTCCCATGCTGACCCATATAAAAATGAGTTTCATGCAATGTCCTGGAAAGTAAAAGAGGCTAACGTGATGCTGAATGTATCACCCACCAAGTGCTGACTGGTGAATAAAAATGAACAATAAGCCTATGCACCACTCGCACACAAAAAACTTAAAAAACACACTGAAGAGGTTTGGCTCAAAGACAGTATCACTTCTAGGAGACTTAAATACTGGAAACATATAAAACACCATAATGGTTTGTAAAGAATAGTAACTGAGGGTATGGTTTTCTTCTGTTCATAACATGACTTAAAAAATTATGACTATCTCTTTCTGATGTTTGCAATGAGTTGTTTAAGAACCTTCACCCTTCTCAAAGCATCTGGGTCGCTCTTTTTGGCTGTTCAGGAAATTCTAAAGATTCTTCTGTAAAACCACATCTCTGAGGCCTCAAGACCCGTGTTTTATAGAAATCTGGCAATCTCAGTGGTCTCTTACTGAATTCATGTTTTTTCTTGGACTATTTCGCCCTTGAAGCACCTTCTGTAAAACTTTTCAAAGCTGGTAGAGTTAGTATCTTGTTCCTCTTCTTCTGCATTCATTCTTAAAGAGTAGATGACACACTGTCTTATCGTTTACAGATGGGCTGCAGTATCTGTGCCTTTCGGCCCAACAAACCCTATTTCAGCAAATCCCTAATTATATGCCTTTTATGACATGCTTGTTTTAGGCGGACGGGGGCAGGGTGGGTCTATTATTTTTTCCCCCCTAAAAGGAACCCCAGAACAAGTTGGAAGCAATGATCCCCAAAAGTCTATGAAAACCACTACGACAGCAAAAGAACCCATCTTTGAAATATAACAAAGATGCAATAAAGCCAGTCAAGTTATATGACAAATGGCAGCAATATTTAAATGCAAGTACATGAACATGAATACCAAAAGAGCACTGTTCAACACATATTCTTACCAACGCTATGCTATCAGTGTCAAACATGGACAATGCCTTTAGAAGAGAGACGAAAAATACTCACAACAGAAAAAAAAAGATGTTTTCATATCAAGCTAGGTGTAACAAGGAAATATCAACTTAGGAACAATCTCTTCTTCTTCTTTGCGGTCACCAGTTGTAAACTCTAGTGGAAAGTTTTTGTTGTTCGTCCACTTCTGGACTGAAGTCCTGTTCCAAAACCTGGGTTTTGTGTGTGCATCCGTTTGACAGTTCTGAAACATTTGTGTACAGACTGTCGGTTCCTTGCCTCTCAGGCAGATGCACTCCAACTTCAAAGGAAGCTCCCAATTAGTCGACTCTTACGACATGCTTTTGGGTAGGCAGTGGGTCTATTCTTGTTTTCCCTATAATAGGGCTCCGGAACCGACACAGGATAACTTAGGAACAATGATATCAGGAGGAGAGTCGGCAGAGAACCAACACTGAACATTAGCTGAACAATCAAATAGTTGGCCACAAAACTGGCAACAAACAAACAGGGCACCACAGGGAGCAATGTTATACAGATACAGCGGTATTAGAGCCAGAGGATGACCACGCAGAATATGGATTGTAGAAATATTGGACACATTCAAAAGTACTATACACAAAGTGAACAGAAGGGCCAGCTTCAGAGATCACTTCCTGCCCTGACGCTGCGAGGCACTCCAGGAGTAGGGAAAAGAAGAGCACAGGAACGCACCTTATTTTTCTCACACATTTCAAACTGGAGAGTTTTGATGTCAGAATCCACAAGTGATGATGATGTATGACTTTTCTTCTCCAGCTCCTCTTCCAGGTCTGCCACCTGGTGGAAACAGGATGTGGATGTACTTCACAAATACAGCGATACTGTTAAAACTGGTTTATTTAAAATAGTTATTAAATCAAAAATATACAAAACTAATCAACAAAACAAACCAAAGAAACAATGTGTCAATTTAAAAATTAAAAAAAAAAAGATTTAAAAACACAGGAACTTTTCCAAACAAAAAGGCATATAATGTTAAAAGGTAGTTGGGTATCCTTTAAAGGACACTGCAGAACAAAGCTTTTTTTTTTTGTATTGCTTTTCATGATTTCCTTGGGCAATCTTACATTCAGTAGTCTGCCACTGCTTTCTGCAAGGACAACACTTGATAGCATTGTCAAAATCAAGGCCTAAGCTTCAGATATCAGCACATTATGTTAACTTAGTATTTGTATAAGCAGCTGGAACTTGAAAAGCAGCATGGTCAATATTATGTTAGCCCCCTTTACTTCCTATCAGATTTCCTTGTACTTATTTTTAGCCTGGTCAACCTGGGAGCTGCCCAGGTCCTTTTTAAAGATCCAACCTGATCATGATTTGACCCTGTGACCACCAGATGATTTGACCCTGTGACCACCAGGACAACAGTCAAGTATGTAGGCTGCTGCACTCCGGCAACTTTCAGAGTCTGCCAGAATGCTTACTTCTTTTTCTGCATTCTCCTGAAATGAATGGTTAGCATGTTCTATTGCGGTTTACAGCTAGGCTGCCGTATCTGCACTTTTCAGTCCAAAACATCTGATTTCACTTAGCGCCTTAATTAGTCACTTTTGTTTTCAACATGCTAGCTAGGAGGGCAGCGGGTCTATTCCCCCCCCCCCCCTCCCCAAATGGGGCTCCGGTACTCGATCACGGATGGTTAGGTTGGCTGCTTTTTTCAGACACCTCATCTCGCAGGTGGTGATTTTGCGTATATTGGCTTTAGATAGTGTCCATGTTTATCACTTGTAGCTTAATGTTTGAATGAATATGCTGTTAATAATCTGTCTCTTTGCACTCATAGTTATGCTTGGATGTCTTAATAATGGTGACAATGAGTATATAAGTGCACTTGAAACAACATTTTACCGTTTAAATTGTACAATTTCATTTAGGCCATCCACACTGGACTACAGGATACTTCGTAATTGTTTTGTGGTGCCCCAAAATAACCAGGCTGTATGGCTACAGGGTTTTTGTGATTTGCAAATGCAAAAGTGGAGAGGACAAACTAAAAAAGAAGGATGTTTTCATTTTCCCGCAATTTAAAAAACCTGCAATGCACGAATACTTAACAGTGACCATACCTGAGTGCGCAGTTTCTTATTGTCTCTCTCTAGAGCCAGCTTTTCAGATTCCAGCCTCTCTCGTTTGGCCCATTCGCTGGCGTTCTCGGCTTGAATACGCTCCAGCTGAAATAAAAATCATTCATAATCTGAGAGAAGTTCATAAATGCTGACAAAAGTCTGCCTATGTTTCTTCCTATAGAGGAAATTTGATGTTATGGTAGAGACACAGATCTGGAGCTTTGAGAGAGAACTAAACAAATTTCAATGAATTTAGAGGTGAAAAGATGCTGGCTGTGGATATTCTTCTTCTTCTTCTTCACGTTCACCAGCTGTACACTCTGGCGGAAAGTTCTGGTTGTTCATCCACTTCTGACTGCAGACCTGTTCCAGAACCTGAGTGTTGTGTGTCCATCCGTTTTACAAATCTGACTCATTTGTATGCAAACTGCCGGTTCCTTGCCTCTCAGGCAGATGCACTCCGACTTTGAAGAAGCTCCCAATTAGTCGACTTTTACAACATGCTTTTTGGGTGGGCAGTGGGTCTATTATTGTTTTCCCTATAACAGGGCCCCGGAACCCACACGGGGAGCTTTGGATATGAAAGTGTTGAATATCTTGGAGAACCTTTACTCACCCCCCTCTAAATTAGTCTTTCAATGTTTGGATTCTCAGTCTGTTCTACAGCACCATCCATGTGATCCCAGACAGCCTTCAATACAATTGCTTTATCATAATGTAGCTAACCGCCAAGAGGAGTGGCAGCAATTATTTTTCCTGAACAGAAAATCAATGATATGCTCCTGATCTTAGTCTGATCAAGTGATACAAGTCACTGTGTGCGCAAAAAGCCAATTTTTTTTAATTTTCTGAAGCATGCTTTGTGAGTCCATTACAATTACAACATGTCGGACATGCCATCAGAAAGCAACCGTTACTGCCTCCACCTCCATTCTAGTATTAGATGCAGTGACATTATACATGAGGCTCTGTTTTCAAACAGTGTCTTCTCAACCTTTCCAATAAAACCCCATCCATTTTTCTTACTTCTCATTACAGATGTGTCTGTGTATATAATGCTGTCATCTGGACATGAATTTTCATTGATCAGCTCTTGCACTCCTGAAACTAGTTTCACCAGCTATTTATTCTCGAACTCCTTGGTCCAAGAAAACTATCACTCTATACAAGGCAGTTGTGCTGGGCGACACTGTGATCCATTCCTCATCATGTGCTATTATGTCAGTGGTACAAACATCCAAAAGCCACCTTGCTTCAGCCGATGTCCGTTTCTCTCCCCTACAGCCTCATGTAGACGGTGCGCTGCGACTTTAAGGTACATTTTTGCCTCTAAAACCTGGTACCCTTCACATATGGACGGCAACACAAGGATATACCGCATGCACACAATTGTTGTCTCATATAAACACCAAAATGACTCGCATGGCTTCATTTTGTATGTGTTCAAGATTCTCTATTTGGGTATGAGATAATGTTAGCAGTCCCAAACCGTATGCCATCACCTAAATAATCAGTTGCTGGTAAAGTGTACCGACCATTTTCTGTTCCGTGTCCAATGAGGCCATCACCTTCAAAGCATTGAGTCCTTTGCCTCCAAATGACAACCTTCTTTTGCAGCTTCTTTCTTTTGAGCTTTTCCTCACTACTCAAGATCAGCTCTTACATTCATTCTTATACAATAGTCAAACAACATTTCCTCCTCGCTGTTTCGCTGGTGAGAGTAAATGTGCGCAGCTGGTATTATGGTATAGCTGGTGGCTTCCATAAGTTAAAGTTTCTGCATTAGTGGTGTAAGCATGTAGCAAGTGTTCTGTTCACAATGTAAATGCTCTGACGGCTTATGTGCATTCTATTCACAATGTAAATGCTCTGACGCCTTATGTGCGTTCTATTCACAATGTAAATGCTCTGACGGCTTATGTGCGTTCTATTCACAATGTAAATGCTCTGACGGCTTATGTGCGTTCTATTCACAATGTAAATGCTCTGACGGCTTATGTGCGTTCTATTCACAATGTAAAATGCTCTGACGGCTTATGTGCGTTCTATTCACAATGTAAATGCTCTGACGGCTTATGTGCGTTCTATTCACAATGTAAATGCTCTGACGGCTTATGTGCGTTCTATTCACAATGTAAATGCTCTGACGGCTTATGTGCGTTCTATTCACAATGTAAATGCTCTGACGGCTTATGTGCGTTCTATTCACAATGTAAATGCTCTGACGGCTTATGTGCGTTCTATTCACAATGTAAATGCTCTGACGCCTTATGTGCGTTCTATTCACAATGTAAATGCTCTGACGGCTTATGTGCGTTCTATTCACAATGTAAATGCTCTGACGGCTTATGTGCGTTCTATTCACAATGTAAATGCTCTGACGCCTTATGTGCGTTCTATTCACAATGTAAATGCTCTGACGCCTTATGTGCGTTCTATTCACAATGTAAATGCTCTGACGGCTTATGTGCGTTCTATTCACAATGTAAATGCTCTGACGGCTTATGTGCGTTCTATTCACAATGTAAATGCTTTGACGCTTTATGTGCCCCGTGAGATGTAAACAGAGCGGCGTATTTGTAATAAATAGTAAACAGTTATAATAAATAGTATAATAATACATTTTCTTTTGCAATGGAAAGTGTAAGCAGCGATTACAGCCGTTACATGCGCATCACACCACAGCCCAGACTTGTTTCGACACTGTGGTCACCTACAACAATCACATGTGAAACCAAGGTTTAAAACAAACAAAACTCTTTTTTTTCACATCTCAAAACACACTGGCCACTTATAGTGTTAGCCTTAAAGTTTATAGAATATTCAGCAACTGATGGATGATGTGGTCAACATAAGACAGGGTCAAACTTGGAACCAAGATCAATTTTTTAAAACCTGCATCAGCTAAGCTTTGAGCCCATGACCATTGGGCGAGCAGGCAAGTGTACTAGCCACTTCCAGACACCCACATCCAGCTGACCATACCTGCCTGACCACACACATCCATCCTACCATACCTCCCTGACCACACACATCCATCTGACCATAAATTTCCCTTTAACCACACACATCCATCTGACCATACCTCCCATCAGCCATACCTCCCTGACCACACACATCCATGACCAGTATACCTCCGAGCATCTACCATAACTCCCTAACCACACACATCCATCTGACCATACCTCCCTAACCACACACATCCATCCTACCATCCATCTGACCATACCTCCCTGACCACATCCATCCATCCTACCATCCACCTCCCTGACCACACACATCCATCTGACCATACTCCTTGACCACACACATCCATCTGACCATACCTCCCTGACCACACACACATCCAGACCTATCCATACTTCCCTGACACACATCCATCTAACCATCCATCCTACCATACCTCCCTGACCACACACATCCATCTGACCATACCTCCCTGACCACACACATCCATCTGACCATACCTCCCTGACCACACACATCCATCTGACCATACCTCCCTGACCACACACATCCATCTGACCATATCCATCTAAACCATACCTCCCTGACCACACACATCCATCCTACCATACCTCCCTGACCACACACATCCATCCTACCCATACCTCCCTGACCACACACATCTATCCTACCCTACCTCCCTGACCACACACATCCATCCTAACCATACCTCCCTGACCACACACATCCATCCTACCATACCTCCCTGACCACACACATCCATCTGACCATACCTCCCTGACCACACACATCCATCCTACCATACCTCCCTGACCACACACATCCATCCTACCATACCTCCCTGACCACACACATCCATCTACCATACCTCCCTGACCACACACATCCATCAGACCCTACTCCCTGACCACACATACATCTCCCTATACCACCACACACATCCATCTGACCATACCTCCCTGACCACACACATCCATCCTAACCATACCTCCCTGACCACACACATCCATCTGACCATACCTCCCTGACCACACACACATCAGACCACCTCCCTGACCACACACCATACCATACCTCCCTGACTACCATACCTCCCTGACCACACACATCTACCTCCCTGACCACACCATCTATCCCCCATACCTCCCTGACCACACACACATCCTACCATACCTCTGACCACACACATATCCTACCATACCTCCCTGACCACATCCATCACCTCTACCATCTCCCTGACCACACACACCATCCTACCTCCCTGACCACATCCGACCATACCTCCCTATCAGACCACCTCCCTGACCAGATACCTCCCTGACCACACACCTCTATCAGACCATACCTCCCTGACCACACACCTTTATCAGACCATACCTCCCTGACCACACACCTCTATCAGACCATACCTCCCTGACCACACACCTCTGATCACACAGACCATACCATACCTCCCTGACCACACTACCTCTATCGAGAAGACCATACCTCCCTGACCACACACCTCTATCAGACCCTACCTCCCTGACCTCATCAGACACTCCCTGACCACACATCTATAGACCATACCTCCCTGACCACACACTATCAGACCATACCTCCCTGACCACACCATACCTCTCCCTGACACCTCACAGGACCATACTTCCCTGACCACACACCTCTATTAGACCCTACCTCCCTGACCACACACCTCTATCAGACCATACCTCCCTGACCACACACCTCTATTAGACCCTACCTCCCTGACCACACACCTCTATTAGACCCTACCTCCCTGACCACACACCTCTATTAGACCCTACCTCCCTGACCACACACCTCTATTAGACCCTACCTCCCTGACCACACATCTCTATCAGACCCTACCTCTCTTCTGAGTTCTGTGATCTGTTTGTCCAGGCTGGTTCTGGACACTGTCTCATCCTCAAGGTCAATGGTCAGACGGCTTAGCTCATCCTGGTGAATTTTTTTGTTTCTGTCCAACTGTGGATGGCAGCCAAAGATATAAGGAATAAGCCAACAGAATAGTTCAGAAGAAAAAAAGTAGATGACAGTCAAGTGTATGAGGCAAAAGAAAAACAAAAGTAGAAGATAGCCAAGGATATTAGCATTAGCCCAACAGAATAGTTCACAATTGAAAAAAAAAAAAGATCTTTTTTTCACAGCAGTAGTATATCAGATATATCATGTGAAACTCATATTTTTGTAAGCCAAATGGCTCTCAAAGGGCGATGTGATCAACATCATGCCAGCCACCTTTACTTCCCAGGACTTTACCTTACACCCATTCTGAGGCAGGGTCAAACTGGTAACCTAAGTCATTTCTGAATAAAATATCTGACCTGATGCAGATTCAATCAAGACCTTTCGACTGGCAGGCAAGCATCTAGCTGCTATGCCACTGCAGGTCCCAAATAGTTCAGAGGTTGCAACACTCAATTCTGAATTGATTCTCACGCTTGCTCCTGGGATCAAACCAGATCACCTCTTCGACTAGGGTAGGCATTAATATTTCTCAGCCATAACTCCCTCATTTTTAATTGCGAATCATTTAAATGAAACATTAAAAAACTAATTAAATAAAATGCCTACCTCTCCCCTCTTTTTTCACTCTCTCTCTCCTCCCTCTCACCTCTTTCTTCACTCCCTATCCTCCTCTCCCTTTTCTTCTCTATCTCCTCTCCTTTCCTTCTCTACCCCCCTCTTTTTTTTTTCACCATTTTTCATGTCAGACGATCAATCTAAGGCTGCTTTAACATGGTGCATGGATACAGCTGGAACTGACCAGGTGATCTGGTCGACACTTTACACTCAGAGGAAAGGCAAGACACACATACAATTAAACTGCTACTGGCACCAGCGCAACAGGAACTCTTCACCACCTGCTGAAGATAAGGACGGATCGCTTATGGGAATGTCCTAAGTGCTGTGATGTCAATTCTTAGCTCAACACTCCTCAGGGTGCATAGAATAAAGTTTACAAACAACGTAAACACAATATGTTTTTCTTACTGACATAATAGCTTCTACACAGAATGTATTCCTTTTTTTTTTAAAGGGCAAAAGCAAAACTGAAACAAATAACAAATACAAATAAGAAAGATAACACTAAAGAATATACACTACTTCAACTCATAAGGGAAGAGAGACAACTATACACTACTTTAACTCATAAGGGAAGAGAGACAACTATACACTACTTTAACTCATAAGGGAAGAGAGACAACTATACACTACTCATAAGGGAAGAGAGACAACTTTACACTACTTCAACTCATAAGGGAAGAGAGACAACTATACACTACTTTAACTCATAAGGGAAGAGAGACAACTATACACTACTTTAACTCATAAGGGAAGAGAGACAACTATACACTACTTCAACTCATAAGGGAAGAGAGACAACTATACACTACTTTAACTCATAAGGGAAGAGAGACAACTATACACTACTTCAACTCATAAGGGAAGAGAGACAACTATACACTACTTCAACTCATAAGGGAAGAGAGACAACTATACACTACTTCAACTCATAAGGGAAGAGAAACAACTATACACTACTTCAATTCATATGGGAAGAGAGACAACTATACACTTCTTTAACTCATAAGGGAAAAGAGACAACTATACACTACTTCAACTCATAAGGGAAGAGAGACAACTATACACTACTTCAATTCATAAGGGAAGAGAAACAACTATACACTACTTTAACTCATAAGGGAAGAAAGACAACTATACACTACTTTAACTCATAAGGGAAGAGAAACAACTATACACTACTTTAACTCATAAGGGAAGAGAGACAACTATACACTACTTCAACTCATAAGGGAAGAGAAACAACTATACACTACTTCAACTCATAAGGGAAGAGAGACAACTATACACTACTTCATAAGGGAAGAGAAAAAACATACACACTTTAACTCATAAGGGAAGAGAAACAACTATACACTACTTTAACTCATAAGGGAAGAGAGACAACTATACACTACTTCAACTCATAAGGGAAGAGAGACAACTATACACTACTTCAACTGGTAAGGGAAGAGAGACAACTATACACTACTTCAACTCATAAGGGAAGAGAGACAACTTTACACTACTTCAACTCATAAGGGAAGAGAGACAACTATACACTTCTTCAACTGGTAAGGGAAGAGAGACAACTATACACTACTTCAACTCATAAGGAAAAAGAGACAACAGAATAGTTCAGAAGAAAAAAAGTAGATGACAGTCAAGTGTATGAGGCAAAAGAAAAACAAAAGTAGAAGATAGCCAAGGATATTAGCATTAGCCCAACAGAATAGTTCACAATTGAAAAAAAAAAAAGATCTTTTTTTCACAGCAGTAGTATATCAGATATATCATGCTAAACTCATATTTTTGTAAGCCAAATGGCTCTCAAAGGGCGATGTGATCAACATCATGCCGGCCACCTTTACTTCCCAGGACTTTACCTTACACCCATTCTGAGGCAGGGTCAGACTGGTAACCTAAGTCATTTCTGAATAAAATATCTGACCTGATGCAGATTCAATCAGGACCTTTCGACTGGCAGGCAAGCATCTAGCTGCTATGCCACTGCAGGTCCCAAATAGTTCAGAGGATGCAACATTCACTTCTGAATTGATTTCCACGCCTGCTCCTGGGATCAAACCAGATCACTTCTTTGACCAGGGTAGGCATCAATATTTCTCAGCCATAACTCCCTCATTTTTAATTGTGAATCATTTAAATGAAACATTAAAAAAACTAATTAAATAAAATGCCTACCTCTCCCCTCTTTTTTCACTCTCTCTCTCTCCTCCCTTCTCACCTCTTTCTTCACTCTCTATCCTCCTCTCCCTTTTCTTCTCTATCTCCTCTCCTTTTCTTCTCTACCCCCCCCCCCCCCACCCCTTTTTTTTTCACCATTTTTCATGTCAGACGATCAATCTAAGGCTGCTTTAACATGGTGCATGAATACAGCTGGAACTGACCAGGTGATCTGGTCGACACTTTACACTCAGAGGAAAGGCAAGACACACATTCAATTAAACTGCTACTGGCACCAGCGCAACAGGAACTCTTCACCACCTGCTGAAGATAAGGACGGATCGCTTATGGGAATGTCCTAAGTGCTGTGATGTCAATTCTTAGCTCAACACTCCTCAGGGTGCATAGAATAAAGTTTACAAACAACGTAAACACAATATGTTTTTCTTACTGACATAATAGCTTCTACACAGAATGTATTCCTTTTTTTTTTAAAGGGCAAAAGCAAAACTGAAACAAATAACAAATACAAATAAGAAAGATAACACTAAAGAATATACACTACTTCAACTCATAAGGGAAGAGAGACAACTATACACTACTTTAACTCATAAGGGAAGAGAGACAACTATACACTACTTTAACTTATAAGGGAAGAGAGACAACTATACACTACTTTAACTCAAAAGGGAAGAGAGACAACTTTACACTTCTTTAACTCATAAGGGAAGAGAGACAACTATACACTACTTCAACTCATAAGGGAAGAGAGATAACTTTACACTTCTTTAACTCATAAGGGAAGAGAGACAACTATACACTACTTTAACTCATAAGGGAAGAGAGACAACTTTACACTTCTTTAACTCATAAGGGAAGAGAGACAACTATACACTACTTCAACTCATAAGGGAATAGAGACAACTATACACTACTTCAACTCATAAGGGAAGAGAGACAACTATACACTACTTCAATTCATAAGGGAAGAGAAACAACTATACACTACTTTAACTCATAAGGGAAGAGAGACAACTATACACTACTTCAGCTCATAAGGGAAAAGAGACTATACACTACTTCAACTCATAAGGGAAGAGAGACAACTATACACTACTTCAATTCATAAGGGAAGAGAAACAACTATACACTACTTTAACTCATAAGGGAAGAGAGACAACTATACACTACTTCAGCTCATAAGGGAAGAGAGACTATACACTATTTCAACTCATAAGGGAAGAGAGACAACTATACACTACTTTAACTCATAAGGGAAGAGAAACAACTATACACTACTTTAACTCATAAGGGAAGAGAAACAACTATACACTACTTTAACTCATAAGGGAAGAGAAACAACTATACACTACTTTAACTCATAAGGGAAGAGATACAACTATACACTCTTTCAGCTCATAAGGGAAGAGAGACTATACACTACTTCAACTCATAAGGGAAGAGAGACAACTAAACACTTCTTCAATTGGTAAGGGAAGAGAGACAACTATACACTACTTCAACTCATAAGGAAAAAGAGACAACTATACACTAATTTAACTCATAAGGGAAGAGAGACAAGTGTTTGGGGGTCAATATTCTAACAGAAAATGAGCATTAAAAAAAGGAAACAAACGTGAGTAGGAAACGAAGACATCTAAGAGAAAGCCTGAGACAAACATTGTTGAGAGAGACAAATGGTGCCAGAATGGATTCCATCCACAATATCCAGAGGATTGCACTGGATAGACAGAACACAGCCGAGGCCTAGACTGCGAGCCCTAGGTGATGTATAACAGCAAACAGGATGATCATGACTCTGACGGGAGCCACTGTGTCTACCATTGTTCTTAGTTCTTCACTGGTGACTGTCCCTTTTGGTAACCCAACAGCACTCATTATGTATCTCACATGTTGTAAACCCCAATAACAAACTTAAATATAAAATAAAATGGTTGACAATAGCAGTACAGCAAATAAGCCATGTGCTTTCAGTTAACCAATTCACTTATGGCATTCGTAAAACAAATGATCACCATTGCTGCTGTTCTGCTGCTTTTCTCCCAATGGTATCATATGTCATTTCGCATTCCTTCATCTGTCCCTTTCAGGGTTTCTTTCACATGGCCTTTTTTCATCTACTATCTATTGCAGAGCTGTCCGTGCCAAAGTGCCATGAAGCATTCTGCAAACACGCCCAAGGCATCTCCACCTTCTTCCTTTGACAACATCTGCCAGTGATGAACATTCTGTTTTCTTCATCAGTTCTTCATTTGCGACCCTGATTGGCCCAAATGTTTGCAGGATTTTTCTTTAAAAATTTATTCTTAAAAGTCTCTAGTTTAATTTTCATTCCTGCTGTCATTTTCCAACTCTTATTTAAAAAGTTTATATTGTATATTCTGAGTTTTGTCTTTAAATTAATCCCTTTGACTTCATATATTGGGAATAATGCAGATGGTTTTCTCTGTTTATTACTGATGTTGCATGCACAGTCAGAGTCACTGTCTAGGAATGTTGAATTAGTAATTGACATCAAAGCACTCGGGACACTCCCATAAGTGCTCCAACCCCATCTTCAGCAGCAAACAAAGAGTTCCAATTCCTTCACTGCCTAGAAAAAGCTAACAAAATATGGACATTATTAGAAAGAGACTGCTTCTTGTGGCATCTGATAAAAAGAAGGGCACTGGAGACAGAAACACCTCGCGATCAAGCAAGGCTGATGATAATTATGACAAATCCACACACAAATTGTGCACAATGAAAATACAAAAGCAGAAAGAAATCTTACCCAATCTAAGGAAGACTCACAGTCCAGATGTTGCTGGATGAAAGCATGAAATGTGGGAAGCAATAACTTGGTTAGTACGTCCGCACAAGTCAGATACTTCTTAACTGACTGCGGACCTTTTTAATTATCATTCCACAAGCTTACTTTGAAAGAACTTACAAGGCATTCATACTCAACATGCTCATGTTATAAGAAATGCAAAGAAGTTAGCTGCGTGTTCTTTTACAGGACACTGCAGAAACAACATCAGCATATTTTTTTTTTGGGGGGGGGGGGGGGGGTTGTGATTAGTTTGCCATTGCTTACTGAATGGTTGGATCTCAATACCACTGTCCAAACCAATGCAAGGTGGTCTAAGAAAAGCAAATAAATGTCATAAATGCTCATTCTGTTAGAACTGTTAAAACATATTTAACACAACCAGGCTGTTAGAAACATTAACATATATTTCATGGACCCATTTTTAGACATACAAGCCACATTATAATGTGTGTTTGGTTAGGATTGTTAACATGCATCTCAGAGACTCCCTGTGTTAGAAATGTTAACATACACATATCTCATAGACTCAGTTTATTAAACATGTTAGCATTCATCTCACAGACTCAAGTTTTTTTTAAACATGTTAGCATTCATCTCAGAAATGCACTTTGTTAGAAATGTTAACACCTATCCCTTACACTCATTACATACAACAAATACATTAGCTCTGTTAGATTTTGTAACACACATCTTCAAACTCATTTTTTAAAGGTGCATTTACATAACAAAAAACACATTTTTGTTTAAAATGTTAACAAACAGACAACTTTGATAAAAAACTGCATGAATGAACCACCCACACAAAACTACAGTGGTGACAACATGTGTTGTTGTTGTTGCTGGTGCTGTTGTTGTTGCTGCTGTCATCGTTGTTGCTGTTTTTGTTGTTGCTGTTAGCACCTTTCTAGATGACAGTGGTATACTGTGCCATAGGGAGGTATAGGAATCATAGTGGAACTAGCAAGACAAACTCGCAACAAGAAATAACATGTGAAGAAATTTAAAAACCCCACAAGCTTTCGATAGGGCTATATTCTGATTTTATGTCTTTTGTTTCTTCTTTTTCTGCCTTTCATCCCACAATAGAACAACATCATCATCATCACAGTCCTGTTGTGCTATAATATGCCACATAGGGCTGCCAGTCTATTCCTCCAATCCATTCTATCGTATGCCATCAGTTCAATATCACAGTTAGAATACAGACCAAAACCTTTGGTCTCTCTCACCAATGTTAGTTTCAGGGCACAGAAATAATGGCAGACCAACACCTTTGATCTCTCTCACCAATGTTAGTTTCAGGGCACAGAAATAATGGCAGACCAGCCCTTTGACGTCTCTCACCAATGTTAGTTTCAGGGCACAGAAATAATGGCAGACCAACACCTTTGATCTCTCTCACCAATGTTAGTTTCAGGGCAGAGAAATAATGGCAGACCAGCACCTTTGACCTCTCTCACCAATGTTAATTTCAGGGTACAGAAATAATGGCAGACCAGCACCTTTGACCTCTCTCACCAATGTTAGTTTCAGGGCACAGAATGGCAGACCAGCCCTCTGACCTCTCTCACCAATGTTAGTTTCAGGGCACAGAATGGCAGACCAGCCCTCTGATCTCTCTCACCAATGTTAGTTTCAGGGCAGAGAAATAATGGCAGACCAACACCTTTGACCTCTCTCACCAATGTTAGTTTCAGGACACAGAAATAATGGCAGACCAACACCTTTGACCTCTCTCACCAATGTTAGTTACAGGGCACAGAATGGCAGACCAACACCTTTGACCTCTCTCATCAATGTTAGTTTCAGGGCACAGAAATAATGGCAGACCAACACCTTTGACCTCTCTCACCAATGTTAGTTTCAGGGCACAGAATGGCAGACCAGCCCTCTGACCTCTCTCACCAATGTTAGTTTCAGGGCACAGAAATAATGGCAGACCAACACCTTTGACCTCTCTCACCAATGTTAGTTTCAGGGCACAGAAATAATGGCAGACCAGCCCTTTGACCTCTCTCACCAATGTTAATTTCAGGGCACAGAAATAATGGCAGACCAGCCCTCTGACCTCTCTCACCAATGTTAGTTTCAGGACACAGAAATAATGGCAGACCAACACCTTTGGCCTCTCTCACCAATGTTAGTTTCAGGGCACAGAAATAATGGCAGACCACCAATAAAAAACATGGAAAAGGGAGCTAGAGACTGAAATTAAAAAGATAGGGAGGACACGGGGTGAGCTGCATGCAACAGTGAAGGAAGAATGATTTGGCGTGTGTTGGTTGAGGGCCTATGCTCCACTGATAACAAGCAGAAGATAAATCCATTCCAGCACCTTTGGCCTCCCTCTTTAATATTAGTTTTAGGGTTCCCTTTGGGCATCCTCATTCCATGGCCTCCCTCTTTAATATTAGTTTTAGGGTTCCCTTTGGGCATCCTCATTCCATGAATCTCTGTATTTCCCATTTTAGTGCCTGTCTGGTGCATCTCTGCTCATTGCTTCTCAAGATGTGTCCAATATAGCACCAGTGGAACACAGACATGCAGCTAATCAGTATACTTCAATCCTCACATTGGACTACTGGTTACTGTGTAAACAACATACAGGTGCCCTAATATAACAGTTTTACGGTTGAATTGGGAGTTCCTGGGATTTGCTCAGGTTTGATTCTCATCCTTGAGATGTTAATCCTAAAGACAGCAAATCTAGAGGGGAATAAGGACAAACCAACCATGCTGTTGATTGTTATTCTATGTTATTTATAACACACATTCTTGCACCAAATTGAAATTTACCTAAATTAAGCTTTTTTTTTAGCATGCAGGTTTGGTTTGAAAAAACAAAAAAGAATAGAAAAAAACCCAGATCTACCTCAATTTTTAACTCTTGCTTGTTCGTGTTGCTTTCTTCTAGCTTTGAATGTGCCTCTTTCAGCTCTTTTTGAAGTTTCTCCACAATTTTCACATGGCTGCAGTTCTCCCTTGAAATAAGAAATAACACTTTAGGTAATCTTGTGGTTACAATTTTGCCATGAAGTCATCATCATTGTGTTATTGAACCCTTGAGCTTGTTTTGAAGCCTTAATCCTGTTTCACCAATAGTGTCTAATGTTATCACAATAGATGTCCCTATACAATGGGCATACTCATATGTGCTCGGTGCTCCAATGTAGCAGCCATTTCAAAGTACATCTACTCAATGGTCCCACATACAGCTGGTTTAGAGTTGGAAAAGTGCCAGTAGAAGCAGTGTTGTTGATGCACTGCCATCAAGGTTGACCATACAGCCACCCTCAGTTTACTTGACGATGAATACCCTCAGAACCTTTGGGTTCGTGTTTACACAGATGGGTCAGCAGAAAGCGCAGTCAGAAACGGAGGTGCGGGAGTGTACATTGAGTATCCTAATAATACCAGGGATACAGCCAAATTACCAACGGGAAAGCACTGTCACAACTATGATGCAGAAGTTCAAGCCATCAAGATAGCGGTAGAGAAACTACTAAATACAGGGTATTTTTCACAACCAGTGGTATTCCTGACAGATGCAAAAGCAGTACTTCAGTCTGGAAAATTACCAAGCATACGGACACTATTATCCGAACTAGGCAACCGCTGTAAATTAGTAATGCAGTGGATACCTTCCCACTGTGGAGTTCCCGGAAACGAAAAAGCTGATAAACTAGCTAAGGAAGGTGCAACTGAAGAACAACCTGACATACCAGTCTCTTATCAACAGAAGAAGAGAATGATCAAATCAATCAGAATGCCACCGAAACTGGCACAAGATGATTACCATATTATGGACAGACCAGAGCAAGTTATTATCCTTCGCCTTAGAACAGGGCACAATAGACTTCGCTTCCACATGTACAACAAATTTAAGATTGGCCAATCGGCCATGTGTACTTGTGGACTGGCACCTGAAACAACAGATCACATCCTTCAAGACTGTCCCATATTCAACGCTTTCAGGCAAAACATTTGGCCAAAAGAGACACTTGTGGAAGTCAAACTTTACGGGCCGCTTAGTGAATTACAAGAGACGGCTTTGCAGATATAGACAATTTATTTCATGCGAACGAAAGAAGAAGAAGAAGAACTGCCATCAAAATCTTCTTACTGTTCTATCTCTCTAAGGCAGGGCTACTAAACTGGTGGCCCGGCAACCAAATCTAGCCAGCAAAGACCTAGCAAGTGGCCTGTGGGTCATTGCCAGCTGTACTGTATTAATGATCTTTCTATGCTGGCTGGGTGACCACTGGGGTGACCACTGGGATGACCACCAGGGTAACAACCAGGGCGATCCAGGGTTCACTGGGAAGGAAACAACCAACAGTCCCCGACTGACAAAGTACTGGAATGAAACAAAGCCAAAAAGAAAACTGCAGATAGAGAAGTCTGGTGATCTCTCTGGCAAACCACTACACCCCAAGGTAGAAGAGAAGTGACTAAATAGGTTAGTACTATGCTGGGGCTCAGGTTGCTGTCCCATGAAGATTCCCATTTTTAACACTTTGACTTTTGTGTAAACTAAGTTCAGTAACCCTGCTCTATGGAAATTAACAATGTAAGAGCAATTCACAGGCCAGCTATCCTCAACTATGGCAAAGCCAGCCAGTCTATCTGCTCTTTCATTGCCAATATCCCCAGACAAATATGTAGATAGCTATATAAAGGGTGAACTTCTGCTGTGTTTCAAACTCGACGGAGTCCCACGACAGATATGCCTGACCAGGCCTCACACCCAGGTCCTGTACAGAGTCTAACATCAGAAACTCATCTGTATATTTGCCAGCTGATTCTGTGCAGTAAACTTTTTTTTCTGTAGAAAAACTTTCAGGTAAATCTGGTAATCACAGTCCCAACTTCATAACAATTGAGTCACCCCACAGTCACTATGTTCTTACAACAAAACCACACAAAATGTCCATCACTGTCCCTTGCGGTAAAATTGACACGAACTGCATTCTCAGCAAATCCAATAGCATACACATGCATGGAAAGCATAAAGTAGCAGACAGAAGTGCCAGGACTGTTTGGCACTATTAATGCAGTTCACCATTGATGCAAGCAGCAGTCACAAGAAATCAGTAGTTGCACACGCGGTTAATTGTATAAGACACCACCAGTACTGTAGCAACAGCCCAGTCACCATTTATTAAATCTACAGTTCACAGAACAAGCCATGTTATACCCTTTCAGTCTACATATGGAGGAAACCACAACAGCCAGCTATTTTCAGAACTAAAATCAGTAACAGCATATCCTCCATACTGACCAGAGTTATGTTAATGCACGATAGCATCAGTAACACAAACTACCACATTTACTTACCCAAGTGAATTCTACCAGTACACATATAAGAAGCAAAGAGCAGCTACCCTCCATAACGTGAAAGACAATTAATAAAGTTTAGCAGATAGTGGCTCCCTCATTCTGCAGAAATCTTATCCACCAAAACTAATCCAACTCCATCATGAACATATCTATAAGGGGACTGAAATAAGCTGACTGTGGGCATCTGTTCCACTGAGTGATGAAAGACAGTAGCAGCGGCACAGGAAGCCATACTTACAATCTCTCTAACTGTATTGTGTTGTTTGCTTCGTCCAGCTTTCTCTGCATCGCTATCATATTGTCCTGAGTCTGTGCACATTTGGTCTGCACCTACAAAAAGAAACAAAACAAAAACTTATCTCCAGCACCATTCGATAAACTTATCCCAAGAAAAGCAAATATTGTAAGAACGAATGAATGAATGAATGAATGAATGAATGAATGAATGAATGAATGAATGAATGAATGAATGAATGAATGAATGAATGAATGAATGGAGGAACGAAGGAAGGAAGGAATGAATGAATAAACGAATGAATGAATGAATTGATGGACATACAAATGAATAATTAAATGAATGAATGAGCTGATGGATGGATGGATGGATGGATGGATGGATGGATGGATGGATGGATGGATGGATGGATGGATGGATGGATGGATGGATGGATGGATGGATGGATGGATGGATGGATGGATGGATGGATGGATGGATGGATGGATGGATGGATGGAAGAAATGACACCACTGCACTCTGGACATTCCCACAGATAATCGGTCCTACTCCTCAATAGCCAAGAAAGAGTTTTTATACTGACTGGAAGAGCTTTTTGGTACTTCTGATACAGAAAGACAACCTCAGATGAGCTTCAACAACTGTATGTGTTACAGTGTGAAAATTCATGTGAACATGAGAGAAATTTTAAGATATGGTGAACTACATATTGTCTTCTCCATTTTAATAATTTATTTTCTTTAACTTCTCCTGCTTCTCCTCTATCTCTTCCTCTCCTCCCCATCTCTTCTTCTTTTCCTCCTCTATCTCTTCTTTCCTCCTTCTTTATCCCATCTCCTCTTCCTCCTTTATCTTATCTACACTTTTCCCTTTATCTTTTTCTTCTTCTTCTCTTATTTCTTCATTCCATTGTTGCCTCCTTCTTTATCTCTTCTTCACTTCCTCCTTTGTCTCTTCTCCTCCTCTCCATATCTTTCTCTCCTTGCCATTTCTTCTTCTCTTCCTTTTTTATCTCTTCTATTCTTCCTCCTTTATCTTTGCCTTCTTTCATTAAAGCAGAAAAGACATGAAAATTAACCTTCCTCTGTTTCTTCGGCAACTTGAAAAAGTGATTGCCATGTTGTGTTGAGATAAACAGCTAGAGTGTGATACCTGTTGCTTTTGGCCCAACACATCTGATTTCAGCAAACCTCTAATTAGTTGCCTCATTCGACATGCTTGTTAGAGGGTAGTGGCCCCAAAACACAGCCCTGGAAAACATACTGGGAAAGAACTAACCAATGAATCTCCCTTAAGGGCCGAATGTAAAACAGGCCTGTGTGCCCAATTTGTGATCCTTTGAAAAAATGTTGTTCATTCTATCTTATCTATCTGTCTGTCTGTCTATATATCTATCTATCTATCTATATACAAGTGACTGAGTGGGTTTGTGAGTGTATTTGGGTGTTTGTGTGTGTGTGTGATGTGTGTGTGTGTGCGCGCATGCATGCATTTTACCACCCACACTTTTGTGTTTTTTCCTTGATTTTCACAACATGCAAATTATTATATGAACATAACAGGCTTTTTTGATAAAATGCAACTGCTGAATGAAAGATGAGTGTTTGGAAGGGCTGAATGTAAGAATGACAGTTTTAAAATAGAGTTCGTTTGTTCCTTTGTGACAGACAGCACAATCCAAGATAATAAGTCACTGAGGCAGTTAACTGGTTATATATGTAATCAACAGATCATGCTAACTGCACATGGAAAAATTCAGTCCATAGGTGCTCAGATCCCCTCCTCAGTACATCCCACAGAGTGTAGCGGCTGACAACACCAGTTCTGTGTTTATTTATTATTTTTTCTTGGCTTTCTGCATAGTGCTCATGTCTGGCCTCACCACATTTCACTTGGCTGCAGATTCAGCCATCACTTGTTTCTCATGAGCTCTTACATCTTCTAGAGCATTCAGTATATCAGCCTGGTCCACTGGTTACCTGCCCTCCAAGGTAATCTTACCTGCAAGCTTATCAGCGTGCTTATTTCCTTTTACACCTGCATGCCCTGCACATGAAAATGAAACTCATCTTTGTCAGTCATGACTGCCTCTCCCTGGGCCAAGGCCATCTCTATCTTCTTGAGCATACTCAATGGCTCACTGAGAAAGCACGCCCCAGTGAAAGTCTTGTCTCCAGCCTGGTTACTGCTTTAGTTATGTCCATGAGTGGTCATGTAGATGAGAATGGGGGAATGGAAAGGTGATAAAAATATGAATACACAACATCGAATTCCCAGATGGTACTAGGGATAAGTCCAGCGTACCAACCGGGAAGTACTGCCATAACTATGAAGCAGAAACTCAAGCTATCAAGATAGCAACAGAGAAACTGCTAAATACCAATCTTGGCTCACAGTATGTG